TTCACATCGTATAATTTTAATTGCGTGGGGTTTTACGATAATGGCAATAACATAATGTTTACTAATAACTTTATCTAAACGGAAAGGAAAACACAGTGGTTTTTATATATGAAATGTCCGTTTGCAATTTATCTAATCATAGTGTGAGATTAGACAATTACACTTGTGCGTTTTGTGTTGACTGTGAATCACGCTCCCGCCTTTGTATAATTAAGGAAATTATAATAAGTGTGCAATTTTTTACTATTTGTCTGTATAACATCATCATAATGTATGTGGGGTATATGTGTATAAGTATGTATAGGTGTGTGTTTTTAGTATTAACCTAGATTTTAAAACTAAAGTTCGCATTAGAATTGTTAAACATTTATTATTTTTTATGGTATTCGATCGATGAAAATCGTACACATTTTATATTTTATAGGTCGTCTTTACTATTTTTTCAAATAATATATTATATTGTGGTGTTGTTTAGCTCGGCTAGAAAGGTCTCTCTCTTTGGCCGAACGACTGTTTAGAGAGGGAGAAACTCATAGGCGATTAAACTGAGCTTCAAAAAACTATTCCCGGTCAAAGTGAACAAAATAGTTTATTTATAAATACACTTAATAAATTGACAATTTGGGTAAAAGTGTAATATTATGCGAAAACTACTTTACTTTAATAAATATAATAACAGTAGTACTGTATAAGTTTTTGAAGAAATACACATTTAATTCTTGGTACAAATTAGTATAACTGTTCCTCAAGTGTTATTATTTTATAATCAAGGTTATCGACATCTACTTGATAAAATATTCCACCAATAGATCTGTATTTTATAACATGGTCGGATTCATCCTTTAAGATACAGATATTATCAGAGTCAGTATCAATAAAATTTGTATATAATGTTGGAATTTTTGCACTCATCCACAATCCTATGAAATAACACAACTGACTTAAAGTGACATCTTTTTCGTTTACATCTGAAAAATTAAAATGTTTTTCAATTTCGAAATTTTGTTTACTAGCTTATACTATATTAGGACACAACTAATACACATGTATTAAACAAATCATAGAAAATAATAAAATATATACGGTGACCGTATTGTACTAGGTATGCAGCTCTGAGTCAATAACTTAACTAAATGGAAGAAACAATAGCCAACAACAATGGTATAAGATACAGTTTAAAATAAAAAAAACTCTAGTTTGTTTTACAATTACATATTTTATTAAAAAGGACAAGCTATTGTATTGAGAAAACACGAATTGAAAATGTGGAAAATGATGTCTTGCTTTACTCAATACTAATTCTGTAGTGAAATGTGTATTTTAAGAAAAAAACATTGTTTTAGAACGTGGCATTACAAAGTGTAAATGTATACTTAAATCATAACTTAATAGTTAGGAAATTAAAATATTAGCTGTTGTTTTTATGTTATAATGTGGTGAATTATTTCTATTTAATATATTGTAAAAGCATTTGCGTTAAAACGCATCAAATCAAGCGTTGGACCAAAAGAGTCCATGGATAATTAAAGAACTACTAAAATAGACAAAATAGAAAACACAACTAATTCTAATATTATTTTTAGCAAATATTGCTGTTAAATGTAATACGTTACTAAATATTTATGTTTGGAAAAAAGTCGAATCAAAGATACTATACGTGTTTTGTATAAAACAACAATTAAATGTGTGTATAACTGTGGTAAAAATGAATCTTTGATAAGTAAGTTTGAAAAATATTAAGCAGTCCGTAGGTATTTTATGATAATTTAAAAAAACTTTTATAGAAAAACAAACGTTTGAATAAATCAAGTACTTTAATTAGTATACCTAACCATTATATTTATTTTATTTTTGTAAAAAAACAAAAACATTATAACTCTATACTAATATTTACTTAATGCACGCCTTATTATATTATTTAGAGCTTTTTTAGTAAGAACTCTTCTCAGATTTCCAAGTTCGGTCAAATTTACATTTCCAAAATCTGGAAAAATTAAAATAAATAACCGTGTTAATTATTACAAATCATAAAAAAAAGTTTAATTAGTTACATGGGAATTGTAGTACATAATTTCACTACATTTTGAACAATCGTGCTCTTTCTAATTTTTTTGTACAACTTGCCTTAGTGTTTCAACTCAAAAAATATATACTATTTTATGTATTATGTTTATAATATTTGTATTAAAAAAAAAATATATATATATACATGCGGTATTTTTTTAAGGCGTTTTCGATAGGCAATATTTAAGAAAAAGGTAGTTTTAATAAATTTCGACCATGTCGATTAATATACCGGTTAATTTGTACAAGCTTTATGGTGTTATTTTTAATGTAAACATTTTTTCTTGCGAGTAAAAGCCATTTTGGTTAATTGTAGACCAAAGTACCAGACAAATTTTCGACTTCATAGAATAGTCAAATTTCAGTTCTGTAAAAGAGATTTGAGTTCTTTAGCTACTTTACTATGTTATGTAGTGTTTTTAATTTAAAAATGTTAGTTTTTTTTAATTAATTAAATAAGTTTGTAATTTGTTCGATACTAAAATTCAATTTTTTTACATAATAAAGCAAAAAAATCAATTATCGTTTTTCTACATAACCTTTTAAACTGATCAAAGAACTGGAATATCTTTACAGAATAGAAATCGGACCCATCTAAGTAGTCAAAATATTGTCTGGCTTTTTTGTCTAAAACTTCAAAAAAACAGACCGCTTTAGGCCTATTTACTACCATTCAATAAATTCGTAATTACAGTGCATTGGAACATTAGGTACACGAATAGCTGTAACAAAAAATACAATAAATCAGATAATCATACAGTTAATCAAAACTTCTATAATATTATTTATAACAGTCATTCAGTATTGAAAATAGTTAATTAAAATATGTAAAATAATGTATTAACATTTTAACAGCGAATTTAATATTTCGAATGATCTTTAAGAGCTTAAGACAGAAACATATAGATTTATGAATTTACATTTAATATGTTCTTTGTCAGGACTAAGTAGTGGTAATTTTGAAAATTGTTCGCTCAAAAGTATTAAATTTTATATTTACACAATTCAAAGCTTATTTTTCCTTGTAAAGCTATTTGGGTAAATACAGCTTCTGAAATTAAAAACAAAATAAAATAATAATACATAAATAATGAATCTTTATAAAGATTTGTAAATACAAATGTTACCCGGTAAGTTGGTAAATTTTGCTCGCTCTGAAAGTAATATGAAAACAACATTGTATATCAGATGACTTTGTGGAAATATTTTCATAAAATGCAATAAAAATGATTACCCGGCACAGCGATCATAAAATTCATTTGGTCTGAAATTCGAGTTACATAAAATGATAATAATATTGGATTTAATTTTTTCATCATTTATAAATTAAAACGCGAACATTAAGGTAAAAAAAACATGTGTATTGAAAATTCGGTAAAAAAGGTCCTTATTCCGATATATTAAATAGAGTGGTAACACACTATGATAATACAATGGCTAAAATTTAAGATTTATATCACTGATACATACATGCACAATGAATAATTTTTGTTTCTATCTTTACATAAATTACAAATATTTGTTCTGCTAGTTAGCTATAGTTTTATTGATATATACCAATAATTACCAAAGGTATATTCATTTTCACAGACAATTCTTCACATCGTATAATTTTAATTGCGTGGGGTTTTACGATAATGGCAATAACATAATGTTTACTAATAACTTTATCTAAACGGAAAGGAAAACACAGTGGTTTTTATATATGAAATGTCCGTTTGCAATTTATCTAATCATAGTGTGAGATTAGACAATTACACTTGTGCGTTTTGTGTTGACTGTGAATCACGCTCCCGCCTTTGTATAATTAAGGAAATTATAATAAGTGTGCAATTTTTTACTATTTGTCTGTATAACATCATCATAATGTATGTGGGGTATATGTGTATAAGTATGTATAGGTGTGTGTTTTTAGTATTAACCTAGATTTTAAAACTAAAGTTCGCATTAGAATTGTTAAACATTTATTATTTTTTATGGTATTCGATCGATGAAAATCGTACACATTTTATATTTTATAGGTCGTCTTTACTATTTTTTCAAATAATATATTATATTGTGGTGTTGTTTAGCTCGGCTAGAAAGGTCTCTCTCTTTGGCCGAACGACTGTTTAGAGAGGGAGAAACTCATAGGCGATTAAACTGAGCTTCAAAAAACTATTCCCGGTCAAAGTGAACAAAATAGTTTATTTATAAATACACTTAATAAATTGACAATTTGGGTAAAAGTGTAATATTATGCGAAAACTACTTTACTTTAATAAATATAATAACAGTAGTACTGTATAAGTTTTTGAAGAAATACACATTTAATTCTTGGTACAAATTAGTATAACTGTTCCTCAAGTGTTATTATTTTATAATCAAGGTTATCGACATCTACTTGATAAAATATTCCACCAATAGATCTGTATTTTATAACATGGTCGGATTCATCCTTTAAGATACAGATATTATCAGAGTCAGTATCAATAAAATTTGTATATAATGTTGGAATTTTTGCACTCATCCACAATCCTATGAAATAACACAACTGACTTAAAGTGACATCTTTTTCGTTTACATCTGAAAAATTAAAATGTTTTTCAATTTCGAAATTTTGTTTACTAGCTTATACTATATTAGGACACAACTAATACACATGTATTAAACAAATCATAGAAAATAATAAAATATATACGGTGACCGTATTGTACTAGGTATGCAGCTCTGAGTCAATAACTTAACTAAATGGAAGAAACAATAGCCAACAACAATGGTATAAGATACAGTTTAAAATAAAAAAAACTCTAGTTTGTTTTACAATTACATATTTTATTAAAAAGGACAAGCTATTGTATTGAGAAAACACGAATTGAAAATGTGGAAAATGATGTCTTGCTTTACTCAATACTAATTCTGTAGTGAAATGTGTATTTTAAGAAAAAAACATTGTTTTAGAACGTGGCATTACAAAGTGTAAATGTATACTTAAATCATAACTTAATAGTTAGGAAATTAAAATATTAGCTGTTGTTTTTATGTTATAATGTGGTGAATTATTTCTATTTAATATATTGTAAAAGCATTTGCGTTAAAACGCATCAAATCAAGCGTTGGACCAAAAGAGTCCATGGATAATTAAAGAACTACTAAAATAGACAAAATAGAAAACACAACTAATTCTAATATTATTTTTAGCAAATATTGCTGTTAAATGTAATACGTTACTAAATATTTATGTTTGGAAAAAAGTCGAATCAAAGATACTATACGTGTTTTGTATAAAACAACAATTAAATGTGTGTATAACTGTGGTAAAAATGAATCTTTGATAAGTAAGTTTGAAAAATATTAAGCAGTCCGTAGGTATTTTATGATAATTTAAAAAAACTTTTATAGAAAAACAAACGTTTGAATAAATCAAGTACTTTAATTAGTATACCTAACCATTATATTTATTTTATTTTTGTAAAAAAACAAAAACATTATAACTCTATACTAATATTTACTTAATGCACGCCTTATTATATTATTTAGAGCTTTTTTAGTAAGAACTCTTCTCAGATTTCCAAGTTCGGTCAAATTTACATTTCCAAAATCTGGAAAAATTAAAATAAATAACCGTGTTAATTATTACAAATCATAAAAAAAAGTTTAATTAGTTACATGGGAATTGTAGTACATAATTTCACTACATTTTGAACAATCGTGCTCTTTCTAATTTTTTTGTACAACTTGCCTTAGTGTTTCAACTCAAAAAATATATACTATTTTATGTATTATGTTTATAATATTTGTATTAAAAAAAAATATATATATATACATGCGGTATTTTTTTAAGGCGTTTTCGATAGGCAATATTTAAGAAAAAGGTAGTTTTAATAAATTTCGACCATGTCGATAAATATACCGGTTAATTTGTACAAGCTTTATGGTGTTATTTTTAATGTAAACATTTTTTCCTGCGAGTAAAAGCCATTTTGGTTTATTGTAGACCAAAATACCAGACAAATTTTCGACTTCATAGAATAGTCAAATTTCAGTTCTGTAAAAGAGATTTGAGTTCTTTAGCTACTTTACTATGTTATGTAGTGTTTTTAATTTAAAAATGTCAGTTTTTTTAAATTAATTAAATAAGTTTGTAATTTGTTCGATACTAAAATACAATTTTTTTACATAATAAAGCAAAAAAATCAATTATCGTTTTTCTACATAACCTTTTAAACTGATCAAAGAACTGGAATATCTTTACAGAATAGAAATCGGACCCATCTAAGTAGTCAAAATATTGTCTGGCTTTTTTGTCTAAAACTTCAAAAAAACAGACCGCTTTAGGCCTATTTACTACCATTCAATAAATTCGTAATTACAGTGCATTGGAACATTAGGTACACGAATAGCTGTAACAAAAAATACAATAAATCAGATAATCATACAGTTAATCAAAACTTCTATAATATTATTTATAACAGTCATTCAGTATTGAAAATAGTTAATTAAAATATGTAAAATAATGTATTAACGTTTTAACAGCGAATTTAATATTTCGAATGATCTTTAAGAGCTTAAAACAGAAACATATAGGTTTATGAATTTACATTTAATATGTTCTTTGTCAGGACTAAGTAGTGGTAATTTTGAAAATTGTTCGCTCAAAAGTATTAAATTTTATATTTACACAATTCAAAGCTTATTTTTCCTTGTAAAGCTATTTGGGTAAATACAGCTTCTGAAATTTAAAACAAAATAAAATAATAATACATAAATAATGAATCTTTATATAGATTTGTAAATACAAATGTTACCCGGTAAGTTGGTAAATTTTGCTCGCTCTGAAAGTAATATGAAAACAACATTGTATATCAGATGACTTTGTGGAAATATTTTCATAAAATGCAATAAAAATGATTACCCGGCACAGCGATCATAAAATTAATTTGGTCTGAAATTCGAGTTACATAAAATGATAATAATATTGGATTTAATTTTTTCATCATTTATAAATTAAAAGGCGAACATTAAGGTAAAAAAAACATGTGTATTGAAAATTCGGTAAAAAAGGTCCTTGTTCCGATATATTAAATAGAGTGGTAACACACTATGATAATACAATGGCTAAAATTTAAGATTTATATCACTGATACATACATGCACAATGAATAATTTTTGTTTCTATCTTTACATAAATTACAAATATTTGTTCTGCTAGTTAGCTATAGTTTTATTGATATATACCAATAATTACCAAAGGTATATTCATTTTCACAGACAATTCTTCGAATTACATGTTCCAATCCATCTAAAATAAACGAATAACGGGTTATGTTACAAGAAAGTTACAAATAAAATCATTATACAAAAACCATCAAAGTGAGATGGCATCATGCTTTAACGATGGCCATCTTACTTAACGCTACTAACCACATTGGGTTAAATCATCACTACATAGATTCAAGTAAGGTCGTCAAGTATAGAAACTGCTTTTTTGAAATAGAATTATGAGTAATTTGAATTTTCATAATAAAATATGTTGACGGAGTTAGCTACAAAAGTGCTGTATACCTCGTTAAATTGTTTAATAATAAGACAACTATAAAAAATAATATTAGTATGTACATTTTAAATATATTATCTTACTTCCTCTTAAATTATTGTAATTCGCATAAGCTTGCTCGATGTGTCTATCTGTAGGGAATTTTCAAAATATGTATCAAAATACTAAATTTTAAAAACTCAAACTGGTAGATTGTAGGATAAAAAATATACTGACTCGTATTGGTAACCACCCTCATATAGGTCACTGTAAAGATAAATATTAGATGTTTTTAGATATATAACTGTCATGGTAAGTATGAATGATATATAATAATTACTTATATCCGCCCAAACAATTACAAAGGCAAATGACATTAAAACACAAGGAAGTTGCATTTTGTCTGCAACAAATAATAAACATGATATTAATTCATAGTAGTCGCAGTCACAAGAGTAGGTACTTTAGTTTGCCAACATTTAAATAAGAAAAACACTCTAAGAGTATTAGTATATCGCAACCTAAAATTACGTCTGCTGTAACTTTGTGAAAAATAGTCAAGCTGTGACTAATTTATTTTAATTACCAAATTGTATTTATGTATAGATTATATTTATTTAGTTTGCCGGCCATTTCCCCGAATCCAAAATCCAGACATACCCCATTATCCCGACAACCAAATATCCGACAACCCATTTCCCGACAAGCTATTACCCCTACAAAAAAACTGGTTTAATCTGGCCAAATTATGGTTTATTTAGTATGGTTATAGGACGATTGTTTGCGCCAAGATAAAGAAGAGGGAAAAGGTATTATAATATGTAGATCTCCATAAATGCAACACAATATGTGAAAACAAATCTAGTATTCACACTACAAGCGGATACATAGGCCTATGTATATATGTCTAATGTCAACTATGAATATGTTAAATATAATATACTGTCTGAATGGGCAGGTTGAATGAGCGACAAAAACTAATTGCCCAGAACATTATAAATTATTATAAATATATATACTCGATAACGTTTTATGTTTCATGTTATAGTAGTTTTATAATATCTGGCCTAAATAGATTTACTGTCAACATATTTTATCAATAGTTATTTTCGCAGCAATAGTGTTGATTTGTAATGTCCACGGTAGTTAGTGAGGCGGTTAGCGACAGGAACGTGTCGAGCGTGCCCGAGGCTAGGCCTAAGCTCGGGAAATGCAAGGAGAGAAGAAGGTCGGATGAGGAAATGGGGAAAAAGCCAAAGACGGTGGGTGATGAAACGAGTAAGGACCTTTGTGTATTGACCCCCAGCCAAAATTGCCAGCTTAAAATAAAATACTGAAATAACCCCTTTAAAAACTACAAAAAACATATTTATTAGGTTCATAACGATAAAACATTGGAAATAAAATGAATACCAACTCAAACACAAGTATAAACATTGTACAAATTGTTTAACTCAAACTCAAATTTATAACGAAAATGAAAAATATGTAAATACGCGCGTTTGCCAATTACACGTGTATTTAAAAATTAAACGTGTAATTATAATAATATATTTGTTCGTCAGTTGAACAAATAAAATTAAGAACTAGAGCTAGTTATTTTATTTTGCCACAAGACATTTCTCACTGTAGGTTTAATCCGGACCTGATGAAGTATAGGACCCTGGTTACGTACTTATGGTACTTTTCTTTTCTCTGATCTCTTATCCTCAGCCTTCTCAACTCCGCCAATGCTGAGTGTGACATCCAGCGTGACGTTGCGGGAAAATGTTTAGCACGACCCCCGGCCATAAGACATGTCCATGTCAAAATTATAATATATAAATATAATGTCTAAAACAATACTAATACTTAATATTAATCATTACAAACAATGGTTGTACTACGCGTGACGTTAACGGCCGCCTGATTTTCGTATAGTGGGTGACATCACTTAATAGGTAACGACGGGGGATGGTGCATTTGCCAAGATTACTACAAGGCAACCTTTATTACAATCTAATCGACAATATACATTAAGTTAAATAGTGAATAAATCGAAAGATATTAAATAGTTTGTACACCAGATGTATTTAAGTTAGAAAACAGACAGCACAATAGTATTATAATACGAATTTAAAATTTGGCCATATCAAATTAAAGCGTACTTAAGATTTTTAAGCTTGATATAATTACCGAATTTTTTCGGAACGTTCCACTTTGTACGACAAATATCCTCTTGTTTAACTAAGTGTTTTGAAGTGACTTTCTTGTATCAGAAAATCCAATTACGACTTGCACGATGATTATGTTAATTTATTTAAATAGCTGTTTTTTGTTTTTTTAGTACGATTACATGTTTACATTACTCTGACTCAGTTTTCGGCGCCCTGCAATAATAAAAAAAAGTTTTTTCGTTTATTTATAATATAGCCAATGTTTAGAACAACGGCTTCGTAAGAATTTGCTCGGTCTTACTACAATGTTACAGTAAAAATGTAAAATATGCAATAATACATTCAGACTATAATTATAATAAAGTTACTTCTGATTGGTATAATGTGTCAAACACAACTGGCAGCTTCAGCATTCAAACATATATTTTTAACTATTATTATTATTGATATTTATAGTCAAATAATATATATGTGGTTAACAGTACAACGGCTATAGATTATAATATTTCATATTGATTACGGCTTCGGACAACCCCCTTGATGTTCCCTCCCTTGTTTCCTATCCATGGAATTCACTCATTATTCTCAGCTCCCCTTCCCATCACTTTTCTTAATTGGCTTTTTACTGGTTTCTACGTCTTGCCCAGTATCCTCCCATATGTTCTAATAAAATGTAGAGGACACTTTTCTATGGAGTGGGGATAACAAGTTTGATGCCGATAAACTCAACATAGCTTTAAAAATCCACATTTTTATAAAAAAAAAATTTAGTTTCTTGACATTAACCCATTTACTCAACTGGTATGTTTATAAATCACAAATAGTATTAAACGTATTGAACCTGTGGATACTATACCAAAATTTGAAAAAATTCTCACTCTGTGTTTCATACTGTGCGGCCTTAGGGTGTGCTTGGTTTTAGCTGTATTGTTTCTTATAACTTTCATCGAAACAATTTATAAAATGGAAGATCTAAAACATCAAGAGCTGAGTTATTTATAACAGTTCATATGCGGGCACTTTAATTTTTCATATAACACCAGTTTAACTTTCTAGTGTGTTTAAACGAAATTAATTATTCTACTTTTTCATTTTAAGTAAATACTTTTTTTTTTTTATTCTCGTGAAACATTTACCCGACGACTTTATTTGATTAACATAGCTTATGTTATAAAAAAACCAATAAAAGGTATTTAGTTATAAATACATGTCGTCTGGTGTCTACATTTTACGTTCTAATAATAATGTGCGTGTGCCGTGCTTCAAGCATCTATTGTTGAATAAAAAAATGTTGTTCAATATTAACTCAGTGGCTGTCTTAAGCCATGATAATAATACTTTACCAAATACACGCGGTTTATCGTGAATATGGTGTTATTAACAGGAGACGGAGTGCGGTCTGGGACATATAGCATAAAATACAATACGTCTAAAATATGTTACCTATTTACAAACGTTTTATTTTTATAAAATAAATACTTGCATGCTATTGCGCACACATGTATTAAGTATTTAGCAATTCATGTTATTTGCATCCCAAGGTCAGGTATGGCCAAAATTTATACATACAAAATGTTCAGCAAATTGATTTTAATTTAAAAAGTTAATCAAGTATATACGTTATCATTTGAAAAACCTAAGGTCATACTGTTTTAACATATAAGGGATGGCGTTTTATTTGAAAACAAATATATTGCAATTATCCCAACTAATAACTATAAAAGTTTTAAAAAAATATAATTAAGAAAAGTCATTTTTTTTTTACAAGTTTTTGACTGGGTCATAGGTAACCAATCACCCGGTACTAGTATAAGATCTTTAGAGCATTTTTTTTTTTTTAAATTAAACTGTATTTAATTCCAAATTAAGTAAAACGTATAGCAATAAATTCACCTTCCTCCTGCTCACTCAAAAATCTGAGATAGTATGTTGGAGTTATTATGGGGTGTAAGATTTGTTAAATTGTGCTTGATTTGGACGGTGTTTGATTCTTATGTTAGCAGACTCGAATCAAAGCACTTGATAGTGATGAAAATTCCAATTTAATCATTATTGCTTGGGTGAATCCAGCTATGCTAACACTTTACTGTACTCATTTCTACCGTGCTGGTTTTTCTTTTAAACTATTTTTATGCTAACTACAAATAATATTGATTTTGTACCACAAAACTTTTTTAAATTCTATATAATGTTATATATGCTATTTGTAACAGGCAATTTTCATTAAAGCTAATCCCAATTTTGTAGACTTTCTTATTGGAGGTATTTCAGCTTATGGCACTTTACTTTATAAGACAGTATTCAAATTAATATCTTTTTCTAGAACTTTATTAAGTTTAAAAACTTAAATACTAACATATATTTTAAATTAGCTTTTTAAATTAAGAATGATGTGATAAAAATATTGAGTGATCAATAACCAGTTTTGATTAATCTTCAATGAAGTTTAACGTTTAGGACGGGAGGTGGAGTGCGGATGAGTAATGGGCAAAAAATAAAAATAACACTTCACTGTATACTTAAAAACGAAGCTAAAAACTGTTTATCGAATTAAAAGCATGTAGCACAAATCAATTACATCGTTCTGCCTAATTTTCGGCCCGTCTACTGTGACCTTGGCTAGATAATAGATATTAAGCTTTTACTGAAGAAGAAATAGTAGACGCTGGTACAACGTTAAGGTATTGCTTTTCGGTGGATAATAACATACTAGCCCCGTCTCAGCTCGGATGTGCAAATATCAAACGAAATGCCAAAATTAAAATTACTTGGTCAAATTATTAACGCATCATCAATACCATCCACGGGGCTTGCTTACGAATTTATAGTATTAATAACAGAAATGTTTCGACTATATTTCAAAAATACTATTGCCTATCATAAAACGATCCGTGGTCAATTTGTATTTATCAATACATCTAACAAATAGAAACATGATACTCTAAGAGGTTTTTAAGCCCACGTGGCTGGGGTTTAGAATAGGTCTACAGTAACTCCGGCTTATCGCAAAGGGCGATTGAAAGGAGGTAGTCAAAGGCAGCAGTAAACGGTACTACCAGCCGTTGCCGATTTCTGTAGCATAATTAACGGCAATAGAAGGATACATTGATGATGAAAGGTAGGACATACTCCAATACTGGCTTATCAACCACTATGTGAAAGGAGAAGGACACCACCACAAAAATATCTAGTTAAGCATTGATATTCTCGAAAATATCAGTTCGGTAGTTGAAGGAACAACTTGTTTCTTGGGTCGTCATCAAAAAAAACCTTTAGAAAAACATTGGGACGTGGAACCTGAGAACTATTATTATGTATTGGCAAGTTGAGGAACATTAACGTGGAAATGACAAGATCAGGATTAGATGTACTTGGTGTGAGTGAAATCCGATGGTCAGGAAATTAGTCCGATGAAACCAGGATGAGTCTGAGTTGGATTTATTACGAACAACAATTGGGGCCACCTAGTGATCAAACATAAGATAGCTTATAACGGTCGACTTGTATCGCAATATTATGGATGCTAAACTTGGGTGTTGAACAAATAGAAAGATTTATAATTTGTTGACACAGTCATTGGTTAGACCATAAAAATAAAATTTTATTTTAAATTCTTTAATGTAAACATTAGACGCACGAGTGGCTGTAAAACCAATCACTAAGAAAAACATAGTCTGAACCCCCGTGCCAGGTAATCTAAATATATAATCATATTTAACATTAAACCCGGCAATCTAAATAAATGCGAACATACATATGTAACCAGTTAACTATATTTAGATATTGATTTGACGGTTGCGATAAAAGACAATCTACAAGGCACCAAAAGACCATTTTAAAACTGTTTGCTCGAAAAGTCATTCAAGTTGTGCATTGTCTTAGGAATTCTATCAGTTCAACAATTTAGATTTTGCTAAACAAAGCATTGCTAACAAACTCCTAAAGTTGTTAATCAGGTATGGACAAATTTTGAATATCGTTTATGTACCAAACACACTTCTTTAGGAATAACTCTGTACTTTTTAATTTTTAACATATTTTAAGCCTTTTGTATTTTAAATGTTGGCACGTTAAAGTACCTGCTCTTGTGACTGCTACTGCTATAAATTAATTTTATGTTTAATATTATTTGCAGATAAAATGAAACTTTCTTGTGTTTTAATATCGTTTGCCTTTGTATTTGTTTGGGCAGATATAAGTAATTATTACACATTCATATTTCATACTTACCTAAGTAGTTAAAAAATCGATTTAACCTTTCTAATATTTATGTCTTCTTTACAGCGACTTATATGAGGGCGGTTTCCATTACAAGTTAGTATCATTCTTTATCATACAGATTAACGTTTTGACTTTCTAAATTCTACTGTTCTTACATTTATTTTTAAAATAATTTTCTACAGACAAACACATTCAGCTAGCTTTTGAAAATAATGTTGGTTCAAGAGGAAGTAAGATATATTTAAAGTTAATCTACTACCGAATAGTTATTTTTTTCCTGATTGTCAAACGATTTATAAAATAACAGTTATAGTTTTTTTTTTAACAGTTAAAGGTTAAAAGTGCACTAGGTGATGTGTCCCAAACACTGTGTAAATATTTCATTAAAGAAATTATATCGTTGACATTTATATTTAAAGTAGAAATGTCTATAAATTACTAAAAGCACACCAACTGTAAATAGTGACTAATTATCACAATACTGGCAGTAGCGTTAAACTAAATGGTCTTAACTTATAGCAGAACGTTTTATTCTGACCAGTTTTTATTTATTATGATTTATTTAAAATCGGTTAATGTACACCTCAAACATTTATTTGTTTATTCCAGATGGATTGGAGTATGTAATAAAAAGAATTGTTAATGGAAATGGATTTTCAATGGGTTAGTAGAAAAATAATTTAAAAGTTTAATGAACATAGAAAAAATAAATACGTTTATCAATGGTATATATCCTAAATTTTACTATATTACCTAAACGGAAACTTTAGGAAAACAAAACTGCTGTTGGCTGTTTCCCCCTCATCCTGAAGCAACATTTAATTTAATTCAGTCTTTTTACTATCATAAAGTTTTCAATTTATATGAAATAAACAGCTTAGATATGTTATTATAATCATAACCACTTTCTTCCGAATTACTAACAGACATGTTTTCTATTGCAACATCTTCGCTTCTAATGTATATTGAATATAAAATAAAATGCAGTATTATTAATGTATGTAATGTTAACTTTAGACGAAATGAATTTTATGATCGCTGTACCGGGTAAATATAATCATTGTATTTTATGGAAGTATTTCCACACGCTTGTTGGACGCCTATTCATTAATTTTAAAATGTTTTTGTATTCGTTTCAGAGAAAGCAAGCCTTACCAACGTATCGGGTAACCGCATTTATATTTTACAACTCTTCACGCAGATTCATTGTTTATAAATATTACAAAATATATGCACATACTAATATATTCAATTTCAAACGTAAGAAACATGTCTATTAAATATATATTTTGTTTTTAATATTAGGATCCATAGAATGCCAGAGATTTATGAGAGTTGAAATAACTTCTGCATTATGTAATTATACAATTTATCATTTCTTAGTGAACAACTTTCATAATATTGATGATTACTTAGTATCTAAGGAGTAGTATGAAAGCAAACTTACAACAATTTGCTATTACATTATTTACAAAGCTTGCGGTTAATATACAGTAAAGTTTAGGAACCATTTAAACTTTATATTCAAGTAGAAGTAACCGCAAATATAGTATATAGTGTAAGCTTCAATATTTTTTTATTTGATACAAGTTCAAATTCATAATATGCTTTTGATGGCCATTCAAAACATAATTTAAATTTGTAATTCAAACGTTGCTATTGGAAATAATTGAATGCAAATACCATACTTTACATTGAATAAAATTGGTCAAATTAATCGCAGTTTTAGAGTAAAGTTATGTAACTGTATAGGTAGTTGTTTGATATTTAATATTTTTGTTTTACAGCTATTCCTATGCCTGATGCTGCATACCAAAGTAATCACAAATTTAATGTATAGTAATAATTAGACCTTAATGCTTGTTTTGAAGATGTAATTTGATTTGTATATAATTAGTTTTACACAATAAATTTGATGGCTTTTCTTTTGAAACAACGGAAATGATTCACAATCAATTATACCTCTACATTTCGAAGTTGTATTTTTTTTTTGCCTATAATGGTGGAAACAATTTTTTTTATTTACTAAAAACCACAGTGTCCAAAATTCATAAAATTAAAAACAATTTTTTTTGAAATATATTATATTTGTTATAATATGATAGAATATTGAAATTAAATACTGCAGTGGTCGGATGCTCTAATTTGTAGGTCATGCTCTGTACCCTTTCATTCAACTCAAAGTTGAATACAATGTTAATGCATTACAAGCGCCTTTAGTTTTAAGTACAGAAAGAATACCTTCTTCTATTTTCAATATTAATGGCAGGTTATTTATTGATTTTTGCAGATTTTCGAAACTCCAACTTGACTGAACTAGGAAAGGCAAGGAGACGCTACACTAGAGAAGCTTTAAGAAAAATAATTCTCAAGATATTAGGTAAATATCGATAGAGAGTTGTATGTCATTGATTTCTGAAAACATTTCTATTTGGAATAATTAACAAAAATACTTTTTTCTTAACTTAATGATTGTTTACTAAAGTACTCATTGAAAAAAATGCAGGTTGATTATTTTAAAGTAAACCACTCAATATTTCTGTAGTGTTTTTATACAATGTGACCTTAGTTTTTTACAAAATTTCGTGTTTTTAACCCCCTACTCAATTAGTTATTTTTATATTAAATTTACTAAAATATTTTACTTGACGATAACCAGTTCTGGATAATTTTTTTTTTTTTGTTAACGTTATAAAGTTTAAAAGTTATGACAGGAGGGGCAGTGCGGTTAAGTAATGCGCACAGATAAAATTAAACTAACCACCACCCTAGACATCCTCCTATGCTAAACTTTAAACTTAAATAACATTATGAATAATTATTCTAAACTGGTCAAAATGTTCAGTATTTTTAAATTAATTAATAAGTTAATAAAATGTATACGTTACTATTTAAATTTCAAAAGTTAAAAGATGAAAATAACTAACTGAGCGGGGGAGGTTTAAAACATAAGAGTTTATCAAAATATGAGATCATATTGCACAAAATCACTACTCAACAAATATTTAATAACTGATTAAACCCTATATGGTATTGAGTGAAGTGTGCATCAGCGATTTAACCATAATAAATTATACAAGTAGTAGCAAGTGAGCAAAATATGTAAATTAAATAAAAAATTCTTTTAATTTTTTAGCCTCGAAAGAACCAGTTTTCAGTTTAGGCCAGATACATCGATTTGGTAAGCTGTGTTGTTTTATAGGATTGTGGATGAGTACAAAAATCCCATCATTATATATAACAGGTATTAAGACTGAAAATAATGGTGTTTGTGTCTTAATGGATGGTTCCGATCATTTAACAAAATACAGATCCTTTAATGGCGTACTTTGGCAAGTAGATGCCGTTGACATTGATAATAAAATAATAGAACTAAAAGCACAGCTACTCGAGGAACAGTATAGCCATTACTTAGACTGACTCTAACAGTGTTTGTACCTTAATGGATACATCCAATATCGTGATACAAAATACATATCCATCGAAGCAAATATTCGCACTTGAGAAACAGTTATACAATTATTTGTACCAATTATTAATATTATATTTCTTCTGAATTATATAATACTATTTTAATAATGTTAAAACAATTTTTTCATATTGCACTAATATTAAAATATTTGTCAATTAGTTTAATATATTTCACAATAAACGATTTTGCTTATGCTTATGAAGACATTTGTTGCTTATTAATATTTTGATAATAATTTTCCTAAATTGTTTTCCTGCTTTTATTATTGCTAGTTGTCTTAGTGAGTTAGACTAGTCTGAAAGTAAGAAGATTTATGAAGTTAAACTGTTAAACACATAGGAAAATAATACATAATTAAATTCAAGTCCTCATAAAAGAGACATCACTTAAATAGGTACGATTGTTTTTTTTTTATAGTGTCTCATACAATTAATCGGATTCTACAGATGATGCGAAAAGGTTGCATTGATATTATTTAAGATCTTAATGGCCATAATATTATATGGTTCGAATATTTTCCTCGCTAACTGGAGTATTCTCCGAAAATAAATTTAGAGTACATCATTACTCATAATGATGATGATAAAACAATCATGATGAACAGCTTCGTTCTTGAGTAACATCGTCTATGATTGACAAACAAAGAGATAAAGCAGCGAATTTCAATTTACCAAATGATTTAACATAAGTAATTTATAAAACTATAAAAGTTTTATTCTTCAAATAATATATAAACAAAATTACAATAGAATGTACTGAAGCACAGTATACAGTATACAGACAGTTTTTAAATACCTACTTAATATTATACACATGTACATACCAAGCGGTGTAAAGATAGTGAAAGATTATCCCTTAATGTAAATTTGTATCCTATAATCGTTCCTGCTCCAATATCTACTTTAATTATAATATTAAGGGTTATCATCTTTAGCAAGTTATAGAAATAAAAAATTTAGGGGTTTTATTTGATTGTATATTGATTTTCATAGGTCATAACATACATACGTACATGCATATAAATGTATGTATATCTACTGCAGACATATAATTTGCAGTACAACAGAAATTAAAACAATACAAATTACTTAACAGTATGTAAAATATTTTATGCCAAACGTAATCAACTTTACTCGGTTTGTTTTATTTTTAAGTGATAAAAATAATTATAAAAATTAAAACAATATAAATGTTTCGCACTTTTAGAATGTGTCACACTCTTTAGAATTGACACATCGCTTTTTATACGTTGACTAACACAATATTATGTTCGCCAACTTTTGCTAACTTCTGAACAATCGTTGGGCCAAAAATTAAAAAAAACTCTCTTTCCCTTCAAAATCGAGAAAAACAACATATTTTTCAACTTAAAATTATGATGTTCCATAACTTTTTTAAATTAGTCGAATTAGTTCCAAAATTGTATGGAATATTTTTGAAACATAGTACCGTTATTAAACATTGACAAACCAAGAATAAAAGAAAAACAACTAAGTTGTAAATATTTTAAGAAAAAACGAGTTTAATAAAAGGGCGCAAGCTATGAATTAGTCTGTAGTCTGTAGCTGCAGAGCTATCTCGAACGTCAAAAGACAGAAAGCACTTTAAAAAGTCTTTCTAGTAGGTTGTTGTTTGAACAAAAAAAAGGAGGAAAACATAATCATCAGTGTTAGCGAAAATAACAATACCCGCATACTATTGTATTTAACCTAGATTCAGTACTTGTACATGCAGGTGTATAGGTTGCAAAAAATATTATAGAAATAATAGACTTGAAACACGGTTAATAGCTGTTTTCATCTCTGGACAATTAATTTTATTGAACAAAATCATACAATATACATATTTGTATTAGGTATTACATCTGTAACATATTTTGCGATTGCTAAAGAAGTTGGATTAACTTCACAAGGTAACTGATGATTTCGAGGATGAATGGACTTGGATTCTGGACATAATAAAATAAATTATTTTGATTTCTTACATCCTAATTTATTTATTTATATCATTGAATACAGTATAACAGTATTTATAAATGAAAATATAATTTAATCTAGAAAAATTAATCATACAAAATAAAATTAAGAATAAATAATATAAAAAAAAATAACATATACGTTTGAATGAATGTAAAATTATGGATTACAAATTTTTAAGTAAGTTGAAAACTGAATTTATTCAAAACGATGTAATCATGGATAATAAAAGTAAATTGTACATAAAAAAAGGACAAATTAAATTTGGTTGGTATTGAAATACAATTATACTTGACTATAATAAATAACTAACTTGTCGTCAGTACACTTCCACCAACCATACTCTTCGTAGGCCTTAAAACCTACTTCAGGTCAAAATAAAGGCATACGACAACAAATGTGTATATAATCGTGAGGAAACCTATTTATTATGACATACATTATATGAAATTACAATTTTTATATTGGAGCAATACGCAGAAATGATTTAAATTCAAAAACAACAGTACTATAATATAATACCTAATTTTAGAAGAGTTTGACTTATGATAACAGGTCTAAATTAATATAACTGTTCATCAAGTAGTATTATTCGATGATTGATGTCATTGGCGTCTACTTGCCAATATTTGCCCTCAATGGATCTGTACACCATAACATGATTGGCTATATCCGTTATGACACAATCACTATTAGTGCCAGTCACAGCAGATTTTGTATAAAATGTTGGAATATTTGTGCTCATCCACAATCCTAAAAAAAGACACTTCTCACTAAAAGTCACTCGTTCTGGTTCTCCATCCGTTTCATTTCCAACTGACATATAAAAAAACATATTTTCTTTTAACTGCAAATTTATATTAGTTGCTTTACATCATGTATTAAAAAAACATCATAAGAAGCAATATAATATAGTGCGCTATGCTTAACAAGTCAATAATTTTATACCGGCCTCTCAATATTAAATCATAATTTATTATTCTTCGAAATAATATAAAAGAAATTTCATAAATAAAAATTCGTGCTTCGTTATATAATAAGATTTATTAAAAATGTAAAATGTTTTAAGTTTTGCAATTCCGGAAACCAAAATTTCGCCTGTTAAATATAACTTTGAAGTGAATTGTGTATTTTAAGAAAAGTTACATATAATATAATATGCAAGTGGCGACTAGTTATTGTTTGTATGTACAAATTGTCTAGTCATCACATACTGGGTAAACTGCCAAGAAACCCCATTTAGTTAACTGATAGCTTGAAAACTAGAGCTTAATAAAAAAGACTATGTATGCTAATTTAAATGTCACAAGCTAGTCAAACATAATATTATATCAAACAACTCTTTAGTAATATTTACTTAATTCACGGCGGATTATATTTGTTAAAGCTTTTTTAGTAAAACGTCTTCTCAATACTCCAAGATTGGTTAAATTTAGGTTACCGAAATCTGTAAAAATGATTAAATAACTGTGTGGAAAACAAACAGCACATATACCAATGCAAATTTCATTTAAAAACAAGCCTATACTATAGTCTACTAATTACTATCCAATAAGTTTACAATTACGTAAGTTTGCAGGGTTAGGTACAGGAATGCCTATAACAAAAAAATTTGTAATTAACAATACAGATAATGAACACCGACTCATCAATCCCTGGCAGTCACTCAAAGATTAGCGAGATAACAAAATATTGTGTTAACATTAAATTATCATTTACAACATAATATTTGACTATACTTCGAATGACCATTAAGTGAGTAGACCAAAAACATATACTTTTATGATGTAAACCGAGCTTTTATAGTTTTTCTTAAGAACTAAGTAGCAATCAACTTTGAAAACGGTTGACGCTTAAAAATATGATATTTTAAATATACCCAATTTCATCAATATTTGTCCTTGCATATTAAACTGGTGATCTATAGATGCTGAAATTTAAATAAAAATACATGTTTCTTACTGCTAAGACCGAGTAAATTATTTTAGCTTCGATGCGGAGCTGTATTGACAACGATGTGCTATGTGATTTATTTTTATTTTTATGTCTGGACCCACTATTTTTTAAACCGCTGAACCAATTTCTCCATGTAGCAACTCTGTAGATCAGAAATCGTACTTGAAAGATACTTTATTGGGTCTAAAATTTAAAAAAAATTCACCCCTTCTCTTTTAAAATTGAGAAAAACGCTCAAAAAATGTACACATTTTTCAACTAAATAGACTCATAGTCGAATGAGTTCCAAACTTGTATGAAATATTTTTTAAACATAGTACCACCGATAAACATCTATAGGTTAGCCTACTATCCATAAGTTTGCACCGAAGCGTTTACTTAAAAGTGATTTTATCATTTTCAGCTATAAAAATTCTTGTAGATCCTGAACCCTGAACTGTATAGGTTTTTTTATGTATGTACAGGGTGTAATGTAAAGTTCTACCAATCTACAAATGAGACATTCAGGATGCTCTATGGATACAATAAATGGTATTAATTTTTTTTTTAATTTTAAAACTATTTAAAATAGAACTGGTATCTTATGTAAAATTGTCTTACGAAAAAAATAACTTCAGATTTGAAATCGGAAGAAAAAATCGATTTGAATTGATATGTAACATGATTTTTTTGTATCTGGCCACATTTGCGTCCACTGAGTGGCCGCTGAGTTGTGACCAAAACCAACATATGACAAGTGACACATCATTATCAGTTATAATTTTATTCTCAGTTCCGAGGTGTTATTTTAAATTAAATTATATGTCACATGCCATATGTTAGTTTTAGTCACGTGCCGGCCACTAAGTGGCCACTCGAGGCCACCCTGTGGACGTATGTGTGGACAGATACTAAAAAATCATGTTACATATCAATTCAAAAAGACTTTTCCTCCTGATTTCAAATCTGAAATTATTTTTTTTGTAAGACAATTTTTTAATAAGTTACCAGTTCTATTTTAAATAGGTTAAAATTAAAAAAAAAATGAATACCATTTATTGTATCCATAGAGCATCCTGAATATCTCATTTGAAACTCGGTAGAACTTTACATTACACTCTGTATACATATATATATATATATATATATAATAAATCTGTGTAAAGTTTTGTAAATTAAATTTGTGTTTACCCAATCTCTGATTGACAGCAATGCTTGCATACTCTGAAATGAACACCAAATTATTCTATACTTAATGGATATTAAACACTTGTGTGAACACATTTTCTTTTAATGCAATGAAAATTATTACCCGGTACAGCGATCATAAAATTCATTTTTTCTGAAATTTAAATTATACAAATTAATAATGTTGTACTTAATATTCTATAGTAAAAAATAGAATGTACCATTACGACAATACTATAATAGTTAAATTTTAAGATTTATAGAACTGATAAATTTGCATAAGGATTAATTTTTTTAATTCTGGAATTATCTGCAAATTTGTTTTCCTATAAGAGAATTTTATTTGTATTTACTGCTATTATAATATAATAATATATACCTATCGTAAATACATTTTCACAGACAATTGCTTTAATTACATATTCCAATCCATCTAGAATAAAAAAAATAAAGGATTGAACTATAAAATTAATTTAAAAAAAAAACATAATAAATAAAACATCAGCAATATAAGGCTTCATCATGCTTTTAACGATGCCCATTTAACTAAATGCTACTCCCCCATTTGAATTGTATTGTCACTATCTAGATTTAAGTGTGCTTTTAGTTAATTATAAAAAAAGCTACTTTAAGTACAAATATAAGTGATTACATATTGAACCCATAAACATTTACGATGTTATGTACACTAGTACTATATACCTCGCGCATTCTAATCCTAAATAGTTAAAAAATGTATGGTTTTATAAATCGTTTCACCATCTGGGAAACATAAAAAACAATATTGCTATGTTTAATATACATTTGTAATATATCTTACTTCCAACTATATCATAATTACGTTGATAAGCTATCTGGATATGTTTGTCTATAATACATTTTAAAATTATTTATGAAAATAGTAATATTTAAAAACCCAAAACTTTATTTTGTATGATAAACAAATGTACTGACTTGTAACTGCAATTAACTGCAAATAAGGCGCTGTAAAGTAAAGTGTTATTAAATAATACATTTTTTTATTCAACGTTTGACCACCTCAGTAAGTATAAAATTATAATGATTACTTATATCAGCCGAAACATTTACAAAGACAAATGATATCAAAACGCAAATTATTTTCATTTTTATCTGAAATAAAAAATAAACATATAATCAATTCGTATTAGCCACAGTCTAAAAAATACTTAACCCTGACCCTAATATAATACATTTTTTAGTATACAGACTATAGAGTAACCAATGTTTTGAACATAACAGATACTTATTTTTCTCCAACAAAGTCAATTTTGATAGTAGCAATCACATTTCATTTATCTACTCATATTTCATAATAAAATAACCGATATCGAAAAAATCAGTTAACGCCTATGTATACTGTACAAGACTTTTTGATTTTAACTTAATTTGCACGTATCTGATCAAAAGCGCACTTACAATATTTAAGCTTGATATTATTTGTTAAATAATTGGAATAATACAGTAATTTGCAATACGAAAATCCGCCTGTTAAACTAACTGTTTTGAAGTGACTTGTTTAGGGGCTTATACTTCGACCGAAACAGTAAAATCTAAATATATTTGGCAAGGTGCCTATATTAATTTATTTACATAGTTGGTTTGATACGATTACACGTTTATGTTACTCTGACGCAAGGTCTAGGATATTTTTATAGTTATTGGTTTTACAACCACTCATCAAAAAATGAATTTTATTTTGAATTAAATTATTGCGTTTGCTAATATATCGATAGAAAAATCTTACATATTTTATAAGGCTTTGCTATTATTTTATATTACATCCAAGTCATTGTTGATATAAAGTTATGAGAACAAAAAGAGTTAATAATTACCGATGACGGACTGTCAAGTGACAACCCGTCCCGGACAGTGAGCTAGAACCCATCATTTCACCGTGGTAGCGTTAGGTTTTAAAGGCCGGTTAAGCTGACGATGATGATATATTTTTAAATATAAAAAAAAATATTTGATTACCTGCACTCTCAGTATATTATTTTAAACAACTTAAACACAATAGTCTTGGCTTCTTCATCGGCCGATTTCCACAGTTAGCTTTTTCCCTTTTTAGGGAAAAGGGATTAAGATACTTTTCTTGGTCTTTAGCTTTGCTAAATAAAATTACACTTTATTTAATGACTCACTTGACTTGACAATTGAGCGTATTTCTTAGGGCCCTAGTAAAAATTATATTATATTTTTTTAAAATTTTGTATTAAGCCGATAAGGCATTAGCCATAAGTACACTTTCGTTTTCGTAGGCGACAAAACGAGGCCTTAAACCCTACTTCCGGTAAAGGCATAGCAATAATAATAATTATACACAGCAAAAAATGTGTATATAACAATGAGTAAAACTATTTATTACGAAGTACGATAAAAAAATTGACAACTTAGATATTAGATCAATTTTTAAAAATTATTTAAATTAAAAAACCATAGTATTATACTACTCCCAATTTTATAAAAGATCGACCGATGTTACAAGGTCTAAATAATTAATATAACTGTTCATCAAGTTGTATGATTCTATGATTGATGTCATTGGCGTCTACTTGCCAATATTTGCCCTCAATGGATCTGTAAATGGTAATATGATTGGCTATATCCGTTATGACACAATCATTATTGGGACCGGTGTGAGTTGATTTTGTATATAATGTTGGAACAATTATACTCATCCACAATCCTAAAAACCGACACTTCTGATTAAAAGTGACGCGTTCTGGTCCTCTTTCCGTTTCGTTTCTAACTGAAAACAATTTTTTTTTAATTACTCAATTTATTTTAGTGGCTTTACTAGTTACTACACATTCATAATTAAAGCAAAACACATTTGTTATTAAACAAACATCAAAAGGAATAATGTATTTTACATAGTGCGCTATGCTCAACAAGTGAAAAATTCCTCTAAATGGCAGAAACACAACCAGACATTATTATAGTGAAAGAGTCTAGTCAAACGTATATATCTGTATATATAGTTGTACAGTTTCATTAAAATGAAAAAAATTAAATTTGAGTGTTACTGTGATAAGAATTAATCATTGATATGCACGTCTGATATTAAGCATACGGTATTATACTTCGAGTTAAATGAAAAAATCGTTTTTTCTAAAATAAATGTTTGTTTAAATCAATCATTATAATTAGCATACCTAACCATTATAAGTATTCATACATAAAATAGTTAAAAAAGCAATAACGTTACATCTCTATTGTAATATTTACTTAATTCACGGCGAATTATATTTCTTAAAGCATTTCTAGTAAAACGTCTTCTCCATGCGGCAAGAGCGGGCAAATTTAGGTTTCCGAAATCTACAAAAATGATTTAATAACGGTGTTTAAAACAAATAATGCAAATAAAAAGTGAAGAATAAATGAATTCTATATCAAAGAATTGTGACATTACAAATTGTTTGTACAACCTGCGATTAGTATATTTAAACTCGAAGAACTTAATATAACAAATTAACATTGTAACCAACTTAAGAGTGATGAGGAGCGATAGAGTTCAGGGAACAACCTAAAAATTAGAGTATCAGAAAATTAGCAACGTTCAATTGCGATTTCCAATTGCATTCTAATGAGATATTTTTTTTTTTTATAGTTGAGCGTTTTTTTTTTGTGAATACAATTTTGAATTTTACACCTTTCTAACAAAGAAATTCGTATTATTATTATAACTATGAAATGTAGGGTCTTAATTCGAGTTTTAATCTAAAAAATAATATTTTTTATATGTCAAAATATTAAAAAAAAACACCTGTGGATGATTCTAGCTTCTGTTAGAAAAAAAATTGTTGGAAATTGTTGAATAAAATTCCAGAAAATCTGGTTGAAAAATCGCAAAAAGTTAAACTACACTATATTTTTAGGCAATGCAATGAACCGACATCGTCATGTGGTAGCTCATTAGATCAGAATACGTATATTATTAATAATACTCTTTAAGGCTGAAACAAAAAAAAAAATCATATCACTCTTTTAAAATTCTAGTTAAAGAGACACCCTAATCATTTCGGTATTTTTCAACTTAATTTAGTTCTATAATTTTTTGAAAAATATTTGAAATACTTCTAAACTCGTGTAGGACTTCAATTATATATAGTATTATCAATATATAGTAATAAACATAAGAACCATCTTTAACCCCTTAATAAGCCCCATAATAACCCCCTTAACCACCATATACCCTGCGTGAGTCGAAGCATCACATCCTATAAAATAGTATATTTATTAATATCCAATAAATTTGAAATTACATAGGTTTGCAGCGTTAAGTTCAGGCATTATACCTATAACAAAAAAAAGTACCAAATAATAAATAACAGTACAGCTAATAAACATCGATTATATTATATTTAATCCATAATAGTCACCCAAAACTGCGATTACTAAGGCAGATCAATTGTTACAAAATACTGTGAAAACATTAAATAATTATTTGTTTCTAATAGCAGCGTAATTGCTTTATCATTAAAATAATCACAAAGAACTTAGGCCAAAAACATAAATCGTTATGGCTTTGTCCTTAAACCGAGTTTCTATCGTTTTCCTTAAGAACTATGTAGTAATCTATTTAGAGAACTGATGAACGCTTCGATATATTTAATTTTCAATTTACCCAATTTTATTATTATTTGATACTGCATATTCATCTGGTGAGATACAGCTACTGAAATTTAATTAAAAATGTCCATGAATTTTTTAAATGTGTACAAATAATGAACCAGTGTAAAGAATTGTTTATATAAATGTTGTTACCCAGTCTCTGATTGGCAGCAATACTTGCTTTATCTAAAGTGAATAAGAACATTATATATTATATTCAATGAATGTCTAACGATTGTATGGATAAATTTTCATTTAATGAAATAAAATTTATTACCGGGCACAGCGATCATAAAATTCATTTCATCTGAAATTTACATTATATAAATTAATTGTACTGTATTGAGTATTTTATAAATTTAATATAAATAAGAAGATGTCATGGTAGAAAAATCATAGGTAAATATTAATTATTTAGTCAAAAGTGTTTTGCTCGATTTTATTAAATGGAATGTAATATTTCAACAGAATCATAATGTCTAAATTTTGAGACTTGTAGCACCGATAAATTTGTATGGGGATTAATTTTTGTTGTAATTCTGATATTCACTTCAAATATTTTTTCTATCAGCGAGTTTAATTTGTATATTATGTTATTATAATAATATATACCCATCGTATATAAATTTTCACAGACAATTGCTTTAATTACATATTCCAGTCCATCTAGAAAAAACAAAAAATAAATTGAGCTGTAAAAAAAATTTCAAATAAAATCATAATAGATAAAAAATCAGCAATATAAGACCTTTGACGATGACTATCAACTTAACGCTACTCCCCCATTTGGGTTAGATTGTCTAGTTTTAAGCGTGCTTTTAGTTAACTATAGAAAAGGCTACTTTAAATAAAAATTAAAACGACTAAATATTTAACTCGCAAACTCTTACAGTATTTGGTACACCAGTACTATATACCTCACGCACTCTAATTCTAAATAGTAAGAGTAATCCTAAACTAAAATTTTATAAATCGTTTACAATCAGGGAATCACAAAAGACAATAATAGTGTATTAGTCTAAAAAATATACTTCCAACAAAATCATTATCAAGTTCACTGCCAAGTATGCTTTTAGTAAATTATAGAAACTGATTATTTAAATTAAAATAATAACGAATAGATTTTTACGGTGTTTGGTACAATAATGATGAATTCCTCTCGTACTCTCATCGTAATAGTTAATAGAAACAATAGGTTTTAATTTATAAATTGTCTGTCATTCAGGGAATCATGAAGTACAATTATTCGGTAGTATATTAATTTTAAATATATCTTACTTCCTTTTATATCATCAAAATATTCATAAGCTAGCTCGATGTGTTTATCTGTGGTAAATTTTAAAATTATAAGTGTAAACAGTTATATTTAAAAACACCAAACTTTAGACTGTGCGATGAAAAACTGTACTGACTTGTAAGTGCGATCAACCTCAAATAGGGTGCTGTAAAAAAAAAGTTTTTAAAAAATAAATTTTTTATTCGATTTTTAACTACCTCAAGTAAGTGTGAAAATTTAGTATTTACTTATATTTGCCAAAATATTGACAAACACAATTGATAATAAAACACAAATTATTTTCATTTTTATCTAAAATAAAAAAAAAATAAAAAATAAATTAATATTGGTCACAAGTCATCTTTGGTACGGATATGAGAAAGTTTTGGTTTTACGAGTATATTTTTGTTTGTTATATATTTTTTTTTTTTTGACTAGACAAACAATATCTTTTAGACCACTAAATTTATTTATTTATTTATCAAATAAAAAAGCTTACATGGAAGTATATTAATGGGCTATCTATTCAGTTCACAAAAAATTACCTATTTCTCTTTAAAATGTGTAATTTGTTTCGCTGATAATAATTTGTTGCTATTAACGATACATGTGTGAGCGCTATTTCTAAAAAAAAAAAAATATTATACACGATTCAGAAAATGTGTCGACTATATTTAAGAATTTCAATATCATAAATTGATTAAAAAGCTGTATTTTTCAAATGAAACGCTATGATAGTCCTATAAAAAAATTTACCAACAATCAGAAATGTCTTAATAATAATTACTATACACTATTTTTCACACGACTACTTTTAGCTCTTAAGAGAGCTGGGTATCGTCCAGAATCGATATTCAACATAACAGATACCGATTTTTCTCGAGTAAAGTGATTTTTAATAGTAGCAATCACTTTTTATTTATCTAGTAAGGTTTTATAATAAAATAATCGGTATCGGAAAAATCATTTAACGTCTATGATTAATACATAAGACTTTTTAGTTTTTGATTAAATGTTTTCGAAAAATTACATTTACCGAACTCTTAACCAATTTGGTGGTATATTGTCCTGATATTACCAAAATTATTAAATCATGTATTCATTTAATATTTAAAAAAAAAAATGTTTTACATTTGTAATTTATTTAAAGCTCTAAAATAGCGAGAACTTAAACGGCATTGTAGTTAGAAAATATATAAAACAATTTCACATATTAAATACGTTTATATGAGTAAAGTATTTTATAATTTACACATATCTAATTAAATGCGCACTTACAACAATTAAGCTTGATATAATTACTCAAATAATCCACCTGTCAAAACAACTCTTTTGAAGTGATTGTCTTGTGTCTTGTTTATCGGATTATATTATGACTGAAACAGTAAAATCGAAAAATATTTTGCAAGATTCCTATATTAATTTATTTACACAGTTGGTATTTTTTTATGTGATTACATATTTACATTATTCTGACGCAGGGTCTAGACTATTGATTACCCAGTTGTTAGTTTTACAATCACTGATCTTACTAATGTTTACATTAATGAATTAATTATTGTATTTGCCAAAATATCGATAAATAAATCGTACATGTTTTATACTTTAAAGTTTTTCGCCATTATTTTACATTGTATAAAAATAAAATCCGAGCAGTGGAGACGGGTAGTCGTGAGGATGGAGATAGTTAAGTGCAAATTACTTAATTGACAATGAATGTGTATACAATTTAGTTATTTTTGGTTTTCTCTTAAAACCAACTGCTTAAAAATGAATTCTGGACGATTGGGAAATTCATATTAGTAGTTACAAAATGAGTATTCTCGGCCCTTTTTTCCTAAATGTGTTCACCGCCCATTTATATTATTATAAATGACAGTTAACTGGTCATATCAATAAGGACTGTAAAGCTCCACGTAAACCCCTTAAGTGTACCTTGTGTTCGCAGGAAGGCCACACTAAAAAATACTGTAAAGCAAACCAGCCAGCGTTCAGTTTTGTGACCTTAGACTCAAGTAAGTCGAATTATATTAAAATAGTAAAAATTAATGACCAAAAGTAAATGCAAAGGCTAATAGACACTGGATGGGGTGTGTGTCTGCTAAAGACCTGCGTAGCCAAGCAAATGATTCTAGACGTTTCACCTACAACGCGACAACTGACTGTATATGACACCAACTCAATAAATGTGGTGAGTGGCATTACTACAGCCAATTTGCTAATCGATATGATGACAGAGGTAATTGAACTATTTGGTAATGGACGATTTAGCTCAAAATTATGATCTATTAGTTGGCCAAACTTTCACGGATCGCGATAATGCCTCTTTTTTTTAAGTCAAAAACTTAGCTAATATTTGGTTATGATGTCATTTTTAAATTTGTGGAAAAAACTGTTATGGGAAGTACTAAGATATATACAGAAGAGCATCCTTGTGAAGCACCATGAACTGGGAGGATATGGAGCAGTGGATCAAACATTATCAAAAATCCAGGGAAAATAATACTTTTCGGGAATGTGGCGCTATGTACGATACCATATAAATTGTTGTCCCGCATGTTTGTTGTTTAAAATTCCACGAGGGAAAATACCCGGAGAACTGCATTCTATTACACCAGGAAGGAGGCCGTTCCAGATTCTAAATATCGATCATATAGGCACATTTGTGAATTGGTAATTAGTGATAACTTAACAAAATATGTAAAGTTCTATGCAGTTAAAAAACACAAGGACCCAGGTGCTCCTAACTTGTTTCAAAAGTTTTGGATTATGTTCTACCTCAGAAGGTCATCATGGATAGAGATACGTGTTTCACTAGTAAATCTTTTAATGAGTATGGAGTTTCTAATGTGATAACTCATTCAATCATTTCGGTAAGACACCCATAAGCAAATGGCTAAGTGGGACGTACTAATGACACGCTACTACCAGTTATACAAGCTAATATGAATTAGGAAATGACATGGGATAAAGAACTTCGGCGAGTATAGAGTCAATTCAATAACTCAATCAACAAAACTATTGGAGATACACCATTATACACCCTTTTTGGATACTATGCTAATGTAGAGGACGGAGCCTTGACTAGCTTACTCAATAATAATCAGTTATGGACAGATAGTCAAACCCTACAAGCCAAAGCCAAAGACCGCATAACAAAAGAACATGAGATATGAAAACAGAGGTATAATTCATTAAATACTAATATAACATATTCAGTAAGAAAAATTTTATACTCGAAAAGAGTACCCGAACACACAGGACAACCAACCAAACTATAACCTAAGTACAGAAGTCCTCTGGTGATCAAACAAGTACTAGCCGGGGACACGTCTTAAGGACTCGAAGAACTGATACAACGGAGTGGCCATCAGTATAGTACAACTGCACACGTATCTGATCTCAAATCATTTACTAAGGAAGGAAGACGATGGAGATGTTGATAAAAATGAGGAAGAAAAGACGGGAGGAGAAATTGAAGAAGTTACCAATCCACCTACCATACAAATTGAAGAGGAGAAGCGGTCAAGAAGAGTTACAAAAAACCACAATAACTAAAAGATTATGTTATCAGTTGAGTTCCTATTTGTTATTTTATTTATTGATATATTTAGAAATATTGTTTTTTTGTTTTGTTTATGATCCATTATATGCTACTGAATTTATAAGAATTCAGTTTTATAGTATACTTAAATGAGGTCATTTTGAAGACAGGATGACCGAGAATTTTAACTTTGTTTTTGATATCTTATCGTATAAATATACTTATCAATCGGTCGGCCGTCGTGATGTCGTGTAGACGGTCTAGTTTTTGCACTCCCTATATTACCATTCGCTTTTGTTATATTAAATATATATTAATTATTTAAAGTTCGTGATGAGTGGCTGAGTGGATATGGTTGCAATGTGTTAGTGATGGGCTCTCTTTGAGCATGATTTGTCTAGTAGAGAGAAGTAAAAGAAAAACAAACTAGAGTCCTTACATCTATTCCTTATCAAAATAAAGTTGTACGCAACATCATAATACTATACAATTATCAAATATGTTTATAATAGATAGCAAAATGTCTTATTATGAAATACATTAATTGACTATTTGGTTACTAGTTCAATATTTAATAACTATTTAAATAAAATAAAAACACTACTAAATAATTTAGAAGATATACGCATTTGATTTAATGTTTGATTTCTGGTCTAATGTAACTGTTCTTCAAGTATTTGTACTTTTAATTCTATTATTATCTCATCAATGTTATTGACGTCTACTTGACAAATGATGCCATTCAAAGACCTGTATTTAATGACATGGTCGGCTCTGTCCGTTATAGTACAAACATTCTTAAAGCCAGCCTGAGTAGTTCTTGTATATAATGATGGGGTTTGTGTACTCATCCACAATCCTATAAAACAACACATCTGGCTAAAATAGAAAACCGGTTGCTTCCGATCTAAAAAATAAAAGAATTATTTTTTAATATTGAAAAATGTTGATAACTAGCTACGGGTTTTTTTTATCGCAAGAGCCACAGCTCAATCACTTGATAATAATTAATAAATTAATAATAATTTAACACCGTGGGACAGTGGATAATATCACACCCTATTGATCATTGAAATAGTATAAAATACACCACATGAAATAAAACTATACATGTTTCATGATTAAATTTGTTCATATCTTAAAAACTTTTACATTAAAAATAACCAGTGTGTATGTTACGAGTAAGTGAGTGGGAAGTGAAACTTTATTCAGACATTTTTAGTATTTTTTTGTGAAAAACACATAAACAAGTAGATTTCAGAATTACTTACTATTATTATTATATTTATTTCATCAGGGAAGTACAAGTATATTTTTATTAGTAAGAAAAAGTTGATAATATCTTTCTCTTATGTTTTTCTATAACAAATAATTATATCTTCTAAATTTTCGGTTAGGTTGGTTTTTGGACCAAAATAAGTTATTGGCAATTAAAGAACAAGAACTAAATTAAAAAGGGAAATAATTTCAATATTTATATTACTTGCCAAATATTGTATGTTAGAAAATGAGACTAGCCAAACATATTATGTGTATTGTGTAAGCTCTATAATTTTAGTTTAATAAAACAACTAGATTTGTATTACTATAGTAAAATTCAACTTTCTTACATGTTTGTCTGAAAATATTAAGCCTTAGGTATCCTCATTAGAGTTATAAAAAAAATACTATTGAAAAAGAAAGTTTATATATATATATAAATATATATTATATCAATTATTTTAATTAGTAAACCTACCCATTTGATCCACTATGCATACATTAGATAAAAAAAACGATAACAATACAATTTTATATAATTAATTACTTAATTCATCCATAATTATTTGTTTTAAAGCTTTCCTAGTAATTTTTCGTCTCGCTTCTCCCATATTATGCAAATTTATGTTCATATATTCTGCAAAAATTAATAAACAAAAGTGTTGATAACAAAAAAAAAATAATTGCTCTTAAAACATAACATAACATTGTAACTTAAAGTACTTTATTATTGCTAATTTTTTTGTAGAACCAGAAGGAAATCTTACTTATATGCTTGAAACTCAAAATACAGTGGGGTTGGGGAATAGTGTAAACGGGGAGGTTAACAGGTATTATTACAACTGAAAGTGATAAAATCACTTAGAAATAAATGCTTTAATGCGAATCAGTAGTTATTTTTTTTAATCCAAGCATAGTAAAACCCAGAAAAGTAAGGAAAAATTAAATTGAGGTGCAATATTTACAAATTAGCATCAAAGCGTTTATTTGAAAGTGATTTTGTCCGAGAGTACTAGTACAGTAGGGGGGGAGCATAACAGAAAGAAATCATAGAGGATACGGAGAGGTCACAGATCTACAGGAATTTATATCAATAAAAGTGATAAAATTACTTGTAGAATTAGTTATTTAAATTTTATTTTATATCTTTGACAATAAAGAAATACGTATAATCAAAATCTCCAATTTTAAGGATTTCACTCGAGTTTTGACTTTAAATCATTTTCGCAATTCTATATGAAAAAAACTTAGTCATGAAATGTCAAAATCCTTTGAGGATGATTTTAGTATTTTTCGAACAAAAATGACTGACTGCAATTAATGAAAAATTTGAGATTTAGTCTCAGAAAGTTTACATGCAATACATTTTTAAGAAATGGTACAATATATCCATGTATCAAGTTTTTGGATCAGAAATCGTATCTTAAAAATTCTAAAATCAAAAATAGTTCTAAAAAACCAATAGGAATAACGGTTTGTTAGTACTTTTTGAAAAATAGTCAAAACACTAGTAATTAAAAACTTATGTAGGATATTAGTATTGATAATACCGACATACAATGGAACCCTTATAAAATATTATTAACAATTTTCTCTAAAAAAAATGTAAAAGAATTTAGTTAAAAATTTGGATTTAGCATGGATGTGTAGAGGAGCTATTTTTTTTCTGAAATCTAGAATGCAAAAAAAATATAACAAATGCGACGCATTGAACTTCTACGTTTCTGTTTTCCCAACGAAATGGTGCAAGTTTCTTATTTAAAACAAGCTCTAAAGTTTATTTACTGCTATCCAATAAGCTCGCAATTACTTTGGTCTGGTGTATTTGGCACAGGAATAGCTGGAACAAAAAATAAAACTATAAAATAATTAAACATATAGTGAATACTGATGCTATATACTAACTGTTACGAACACTCGAAATTGAGATTTTTTTAAATTTATTTATAATATACTGCATTAACATAAACATATTTCTAATAGCATCGTATTCGATAATTATTATTGCAAACCATCATTAAGATATCAAAAAATACACAAGCATTATACATAAACTAGCTTTATATTTAAATCAAACCAATAATATTATACATAAATATACTTTTTAAATGCAGTTTTTTTTTATAACTTTTCAGTAATAAAGTTTAAGAATTATTCGGTGAAAAAAATTAAATTTTATATTTACGCAATTCACGTATTATCATTTGTCGCATATCCAACTGGTGGTTTATAATTTCTGAAATTTAAAATAAAATACATTTTTATGTACATGTTTCTTTTAACTAAAACTAGTATTCTAGTAATTATATATTTTTTATGTGTAAAGGTTTATATATATAAATGTGGTTACCTATTCTGTTATCGTCAGTAAGGATTGCATACTCTGAAATGAATACGAAAACATAGTGTATGGGACATTCTGATTTAAACCACGTGGTCATCGGCCCGACCTCCTAAAATTGTTTTCGACCAGTTTTAAAATTCTGAAAATGTTATCATAAAATAAGAGACTCAAATAAATTGTTTTGGTATAATAATGGGAATGGACAGAGATTTATTTTTTTAAATAAAAAAACTGTAAATATACATTTTGTTTTCGGGTTAAAAAACAAAAATAAATAATTCTCGACCCATTGCCGTTATTAGACCAAACTAATTTGGTTTGAGACTCTGATTTTTTTATTAAAATTTCAGAATTTTAAAACTGGTTGAAATCGATTTTTCGATTAAAATAACATAAAAAACCCTTTATTTTTGAACTAAATATGAGTAAAAAAAGGAAAAAAAATGAAGGTCTTATATTAGATCAACAGAAGTTTAAAAAAAATGTTGAGGAAGTCGGGGCGATGACCCAGAATGACACAGAATGTCCTATATATTCATTCTGAATATCAAACGACTTTGTAGACATATTTACATTAAATATATTAAAAATATTATTACCCGGTATAGCGATCATAAAGTTCATTTTGACTGAAATTGACATTTTATAAATTCATTATATTGGATTTCATGTTTTACTCTATTATACATTTGAAGTCAAGGTAGAAAGAAAAAACATTTATTTTAGTATTATGGACAAAAGTGCTTTGCTAGATTATTTTAAATTGAATGAAAACTATATAGTTATCCAATTGTTGAAATGTATGATTTATACTTCAGTTTATCTTATACATACATATATATGTACAATTTTGAATAAAGATTATTCCTGTTGCAATTTTATGTAATAATTAAAAATATTGTTTCTAATAGCAAGCTTGACTTTTATTATTATATAGTTATAAGTTATAACTACCCAACGTAAATCTGTTTTCATAGACCATTGTCTTTATTACGTGTTCCAATCCATCTAAAAATAACAAATTTAAGTTAATTCTATAAAAAAAATTCTTAATTAGAATTGTAATACTGTTCGTGTTCCGCTATCGTATAAGAATCGATATCGATATAACCGCTCAATCGTTATGCAACCAATATAGTTTACAAACTAACAAAAATAATGTAGAAAAAATACAATATATTCATCAATGGAATGTTAGTAGTAAACTTTATTGACTCGACAAAATAAAAATACTAAAGAACATACAATAAAAAGAAACCAATCGTAAAAAAAATGACAACCTCAACAATTGACCATCAAATATCTACAACATAGGTACCAAAATTTAACAAATTCGCCAATATAAAAAAAAAATTCTATAAAAAATAACGATACCTACTTTATATTATATACTTTAATTTTTATGTCCAAAAGATAACTTCCAACCTTTTAATTCTGGCCAATGACCTTTGTAGTCGAGTTATTTTTTTTTGTAAAATGTAAAATACTATGCTTTTAACTATGGCCATTTCATTTAAAGCTACTCCCTCTTTTTTGTTAAGTAGACACTTATTAGTTTCAAGATTGATCTAGTAAATTATTTTAACTACTAAATTAAATATAAATATAAATAATTCGATTTTTAGAATTTAAAAATAAAACAAAAACTGGTTCTTTTTACCTTGTGAACCCTAAAACATAAATCTTTCATAGAATTACTCATTTTTAATTTATAAATTATTTGACAATCGGGCGATAAAAAAATTAAATTGTTTATTATTACAATGATATGAAATATAATATCTTACTTCCTTTTACAGGATCAGTATAAATAGAAGCTTGCAGGATGTGTGTGTCTTAGGTTTTTAAATGTTTTTTTAAAAATTATGTTTAAAAAAATATATAATTAAAAACTTCGAAAATGTAAGCTTTATGATAAAAAATGTTACTGACTTGTAATGGCGAGCAAACTCTTATAAGCCGCTGTAAAGAAAAAATTGTGATTGATATATTTTTCGATTCTAGTTAACTCGGTAAGTATGATAACATGATAATTACTTATATCGGCCAAAACGTATACAAAAGAAAGTGATAGTAAAATACGGAAAAATTTCATTTTATCTGCAAATAAAAATAAACATAAAATCAATCCATATTAGTTACTGTCTACTTTGGTGCAAAGATTAGAAGGTTTTGGTTTTACAATGATGTTCGCCAAACGAAATAATGCCCATTTCTCTTAACCGGCTAATTTTAATTATAATTTTTTTGGTTTAAACGGCCTTATTCGGAATAAATTCTAGCTGTTTTTTTATATACATTATAAAAGAGTTTATACAGATTTTATAAAAAAAAGTAATGTATTTGTTAGAGTCTCACTCTAGATAAACTCTTATATAAATTTTGATAAATAAATTCCAAAAACTAGGCCCAAGAATGAATGTTTCCTCTCCACAATGTAAAAGAATTCATTTCTAATACCTAAATTTTAACAAATTAAGTGGTAGAAAGTTTATAAAATTATATGTACTTGTAAATTGTACTTAAAATGGCCTAGACTTATTTATTTGTGATATAAATTACAATTCTGTTTTGTATTATTATTTCTTAATAAATATATATCAAAATAATTTTTCCATACCTGATTGAAAGCCATTGAATTACAATTTGAAGAATTTGATAGTTATGCTTACATAAAATATTAAGCTTTTACAATTTTTAAGACAATAAACACTTAGTAGAGTTTTTTTAAATGAACAGTTTTAAAGCAGTTTTCTTTGGTAAATAGGCTTATATTTTGATGGAAGAAATACCAATTTAAATATATTTATATGGGTACATATGTTTGCATAGCTGGTTTGCTTTTTTTCATGTTGATAAAATTATTATTTCACATGGTGTTTAGACTAAGTATTGACTTCTCAGTTATTTTTTTAAATTACTTGTATAACTGATGTTAACATTTTTTTATTTCGTTATTTATTTTTGATTGAAATTTTGTACACAAGGTGATTCATTAAGGATAGGACACTCATTTTCTCGGGATATATTATTATTTTGACAAAATTTTTTTCCAAGACTTTTTGGTACACATTGTACAATATTTTGAAAATTTGTATTACCAATCCTTAAATTGTAAAAACCAGCAGCTTTTCTTTATAAATAACTTAATTTGCATATTTTATGGCTCATTGTTTTTTTCAATCTCTAACACGGGTTTATAGTTTTCTAGATTATCTAAAAAACCATCTGAATATACGTTGAAAGAATGATGTGCTAGCTTTGTGAACAACAAACATTATAGTAAATCATAAGTTGACAACAATCTCGAATCAGCCATAACTATTTTAGGTATCGTGCACATTGCTGTTTTTCTTAGAACTCGTGCCTTTATTACTTTATAAAACCAATAATAAATATGCACTAATCAAATAACTCGTGCGAACAATAGCAGACAATGACAAATTGTATTGATTTATTGTATTACCTTCCCGATAAAGCACCCCAAGCCCCTCTTTTAGTTGCGCTTATGCGGTTCTCACTAAAATGTGTTTTCATCGGATACACTTGAAGAACCTATAAAAAAAAATAGCAATCTACATTTTCTGTAGACATTCTATGACTTCTTCCTTGCATACACAAAATATCTAGAGTTGCTTTAATATTTTTAAGAAGACCCGTCCTCAACATATTCCCATACATAATTTAACATTGACAAGGCATAACAAAAATTTCTCATCTCTCTTTACTATATGTTTCCTATATCAAAGACTTAAACATCGTTGTTTAAAGATGTAATTTTGACCAAATTTTTATCTGAAAATCTATCTAAAAATATTCCTTTTCTGCCAATGGAATTTTCTATTCACATGTTATTCCGGTTTTATTAATTTTAGCAGTGATGTGCACTATACGGGTAAAAATATTATGTCAAACAATATTGTCCAGTCTAAATAAATATTCAGTTGATATTTTTCTCAACTTCAAATTTAAACAAAAACGAAATTTCTCACAATTGTGAAAGACAGATTATGACCTTTTGGCGGTGCGTAAATGTCACAAAAAAAAACCAAAATAAATCATTTATGGTTTTACAAAAAAATCCATTAATCAAAAAGTTTTTAAATGTTTTCCAAAAGAAATATTTTGAATATTATACTTTTGGAGTGCCTACCTACAATTTCTGATATTTACTATTATTTACTATTTAGCAACCAATCTAATAAAATAACAAATTATTTGCAAAAACACCATTTTGCTCTGCATTTATTTATTTGTAAAAAAATATTACATCGTTATGAGCCAAATAATTTCTGTTAACATAATATGTTGGCGTGTAATGTTAGTTCCAAATCCTGTTTTTTTTTAATTAAATAAATCAAATTTTTTTAAAATAAAGTAATTATTAATTAAGTCAATTTTGCTTATACAAAATAATTATTTAACAATTAGGCTTTTATTCGATTTACCGACAACTAGGTTTGAAAATACAGTTTAAATTTTCAATTGAGAAGTAGTAAGTTAACGTAGTGGCACTTGACTTATAAGTCATAACAAGAATAAAAAGCAAAACTAATCCCTTATAGTTTTAAAGCAAATTAAAAATGTGTATTCTATAATGTAAATTAATTAATATGTATCACTATGAAAAATGCTGATACCTATTTAATACAAATTTATAATTGTAAGTAAGTGTGAATCGTTTTTTTAATACAAATAAATACACCAGCTTTGTAAATAAATTCGTATAGGCTTATACCCAAATAATTTTAGGTTACACGTGATGTATAATGTAGAAAACCAAAAACTAAAAAAAAAAATTTTAATAATTTAAACTCTGCGTCAAAATATTGTACAATTATAATTTAAAAAAATACACCAGCTATGTAAATAATTCAACATAGGCACCATAGGTAAAAATTTACTTTTCGGTGGACATATAATCCCATAAGCTAGACCCAAGAATGTCACTTTAAAACAGTTTCTCAATCTAATCGAATCGCTTAAGTATACTGTACCTACCATAAAGTTAAAAAATATGTAAGTAGGAAATTTTTTTAAATACTTTAATTTTGAAAATGTATTGAAGATAAAAAATTCTATTTTGTATTTTGTATCTTAAATATAAGTCGGTACAATTTTGTATAAAATGCTAAATTAGGTTTTGAATTTATTCAAATTATTATTCTATTAATTTTTAATTTTATCTTATTATTTGGCTTAATATGTATTGTAGGAATTATTATTTTTTATACTTTTAACTTTTAAGTTGATAACATTAATTGTAATTTTGACGATAATTGTTATTAATGAATATGTTTAACATTTTTATATTGTGTCTTGTATCTATTTTTTAGCAAGTCTACAAAAAAAGATCTTCTTCAAAATTTAAAAAAACACCCCAAAAATTCTTAAGAAAAAGTACTAATTATAAACGTTGAACTATGTTTTTTATTAGAATATTTTATTGTAATTTATTTACTGGACTCAAAAGGGTTCTCAGAGTAGATGCATGTAATAGTATCTAGTTTGTACATGTTAAACAAAAACTGTGTCTTGTACACTTTTTTAAGTGCAATTCTATTAAACTTATAGCAAAATAAAATTTGACGTTTAAATGATTTGTGGTAATAATACAATTGTTCCAAGCAAAAAACAAGTATTGAATATTTAGCAAAATCTTGTCTATTCGTTTTTGCTCGGAGTATTGGCATTTAGTACGTGGCACAAATCTATTTAATTTAGATATTTTCGTTTTTGTTGTAGACCAGGCAGGTCATATTCATTTCGTTGAAAAAAAAAAAATCGGGCACCTAAACGAATTTAACATGCGAAAAATTGGCATCGTTAAGTTTTTAATTGCCATAGCCCTTATATGCATAAAAAATAATACGATGTGTGACGGTGCATACACTAGACATAAAATGAAACTTGTCAACTTTGTATGTAGACCGGAACATTGGCAAGAGATGTGGTTCGAAAAGGTCAAAGCCGAAACGCAGTGGGTGGAGAAATGTGATTTGCCCAATCCAGATGTCATAAACCGCGCGATACAGAAGTTTAATGTTATCCCTTGTATGATGGTATGCGGTTACGGATCAAAATTTTATAACTTTTTCAGACTAATGGCCCATACGGTCAAAGAGTGTAAAAGTTTCCAACAAAAGTTTGTCGCAGACGATTGTTGGAGGAAACTGAACAATAGTCTCGAAACGCTAGTGTTAACTACATTAAGCTTGTTGCGCGCATTGGAACTACTGCATTCTGTCGACAGAGCTATAAATCTAAGTGCGCTTTACGGGCGTTTGTATGGTATTCAACTTTTAATCAAATCCAAAGGTTTTAACTGGGAAATCACGCCTGTTGTGGAATACTTGGAGAATCTTTTAAACACAGACTGTAAACCAGAACTTCCTGTATTCGATTTGGAAGAATTGGAGACTAAATATAAAAATCTAAGAACTGTAATTATGAACCGCTACGATTTTTATGTTAACACACTGGACTCTTACACGGATTATATAGACAAGCATTTGAGTAAGCTTGGTTTTAAATACGATGCGGAGACGGACGTAACCGTCTTTACTATTCCAAACCCGAGTGAATAATATCAGTAAATTTAGTAATATAGACATAAGGATTAAATAAGTTTCAATTGTTTTTTTTCCGTATAAAAATGGTAACCAGTTCAAAAATTATTATAAAATACATTAAACATGGCACGTCAAAGCGTTATAAGTTATAACCTATAAGGTATAATTTGTTACATTACCTACTTTTTTTTTTCAACAGGTAAAATCTATGTAGTATTTATTTTTAGATTTATCAGTTTCAATGACGTCTTAAATAAATGTAATATAAATTACACACTTGTTAAAATAAATTTTACTTTTATTGACTTTGTTATTTCTTGTGTAGTATAATTAATTAAAAAATATTTATACTTGAAAACTAAATTAAATTAATTAACTTATTAATATTTTAAATTAAAAAAATCCTTCGAAGGTTTTCACAGTGATAACACATAAAAAATTAGAAAATTTGTTGTTCATACTTCACAATTTATACGACCAGCGTCCTCATACAACAAGTCATCCTTAGAGAAGCAAATCCAGTGAATCGGCCCAGTATTAAAAAAATAAGTGTGGAAACAACAAATAAAAAAAATTTATTTTAAATGAAAGTGATAAATAAACGCTTCGATGCGAATCCGTGAATAGTATGTTCATATGCGTAAGTTAGACAGAATGGATACTATCATAAGGATAGTCAAATGAAATTTTAGGTAGGCACTTACTTACTGGCGAACCACGGAAATTAATTTATGAGGAATGTTAAATATTGATATATATTGCCTGTAAAAAAATTAAGGCTAGATATTATAAAACTAATAAAAAAAGTTTGGCCAGAACATAGAATTACAACTATTATCGCAAGGAGATTATAAATCGAAAATAATCATATAATTATCAGGACATATCCATGTATTGATGTACCTGCATAAAGTGTTGATACTTTTTTTTTTTGTCAATATTCATCGGTAGTACTATGTTTAAAAAAACTAGTATTTTCTCCACTCCATGGAAAGACATTAAACCATGTATATGTTTTTGCGGTTTATTGTAGTACATATCACTTACATCTTATTATTTATCTATTATTACTTATCACTTATCACTTAAATAATATCTCTTATATCCGGTCTCTAATATCTTATCACTTATTTCGAGTTTCTTATCAATAATCTCTAATCTCTTATCACTTATTTCTTAGCAAAACGCGAAAATAGCGACATGAAATTTCTTGTATCCAACTTAATTACATATCCATGTTAACATATTCCATACAAATTTGGAACGAATTAGATTAATTAAAAAATAGTTATAGAGAACCGTATTTTTTCATATTCGTTAATATTATTTTACAGGGAAAAGACCTAAAAGATCATAGGCCGGAATTGGGGTGTTGTCAATATGTTTATATTGTTTTTAATAAAAACAAAATAAATTTAATATAAACGTTTTATACAAAGAATTTAAAATAAAAAAGTGGCCATAAGTCATCAATAACAATCATTGTTCTCAATAAAATAATGAAACGTTTTTAATATGTTTTAAATGAGATTTTGAAAATGTGAACATCTTAAAATGTTCAAAACATTCCATTCTATACTTTAATAAATAATACATTTTTGTGTATGACAAAATACACAGTTAGGCTTTATAAAAAAAAATTTAGTTGCAATTATCTAATGGATAATCCAATTATCTAATATATTATACATAGTGTTCCAGCATGAAAGGTAAGTAATAGGTGATTGGACATCTGGGGACCCCCAAATAAGCTCCCCGTTTTCATTTTTTCGATAAGGCAAAAACTAAAGGATTCGACAGTTAAGTAAAAAAATAATCACTTAAAAAAAAAAATTATGTCCTGTTAATCAGTGCAAAAAGGTCACCTTAAAAAAGGGGTCTCATCATTTTCAGTCCATTACGGGCCCTAACATAAAACTATAAGATAAAAATGATTAGAAACCAGAAGTAAATGATAAGTAATAGAAGATTATTTGGAGATCCCCAGATGTCCAATAACCTATTACTTACCTTTCATGCTAGAACACCCTGTATGTATGAGTCAATATAAATCAATAGCTTTAAAGAACACAGTCTAAACATCATTAATTAAATTTTAAAAATGAACCAGCTTTGTAAATAAATTTACACGGGTACCCTGCAAGATCCTATTCAGATTCTAAACTTTTAGTAATATAAAATTAGCCCATCTTTAAATCGTACAATTCCCATTTTCAAACGGTTAATTTAAAAAGCAGTTCAATTTGATTATTTTGAGATTTTTTTTATGAAATTAATTTTTAGTAATATAAAGTAAAAAATAACAACAAGTAAGATATATAAAGTATAATTAGAATACAGAATAATTATTATAAAGACTTTTTAAATATATTATACAATTTTATTTTAATAATTCTAATATATTTAATAACACAATTTTGACTAAGTTTTTAGTTGGACCACATAAATAAAATGTCAACTTTAATGTAAACATTAGTGTTTTGGGTGATTGTAAAACAAATAAATTTGAAGAACATAGTCACACTATACGTAAGTGTAACGCAAATTAAAAATCATTAAAAAAAAACAGCTATGTAAATAAATTAGTATAGTGACTCTGCAAAAACAGTTTAGATTTTACTTCACTGGTAGAAGAATAAGTCTATACCTAAGATGTAAAAATTCACTTTAAAATAACGAGTTTAACAATTATTCGATCGTTTTGGTATTTGTCTTAAAAGTTTTATCTTAAGAATAAATTTTAAAAGCAATAATTTCAAGGTTCAAAATATGTAAGTACAATTTTAATCAAATATAGACAATGAATTCCAAAAAAAAAATTGATATTTTTTTTATATTAAGGGGATTGCATGCGGGCTGTTTTTGTGGAGTTTTGTGTAGGCAATATTTAATAAAAAAAAGATTTTAGTAAATTTCGACAATGTCAATTAATTTATCGGCTGATTTGCATAAGTTTTAAAATATTATTTTAATTACAATATTTTTTTCTTTTAGTATAAGCCATTTTTGTTTGTTTTAGAACTAATAGCTTAGTAAAATTTCATCTACTCAGAATACTCAGATTTAAAGTCTATCGTTCGTCTATAATAGTTTGTTGCCCTTGTTATCCATTTTACTAAAATGTAGGCATGAGCTGATAACTTTTTATTTTATTTTATCAGAAGCTATTATATGCTGTCTCTCATAATTATTATCCTATCACTTATGCTTTATCAGGTGTATCTTATCAGCATACATAATCAGTTATTTTTTTATCACTGTTGGGAAAAAGATATCGGGAAATCGATGACGCTTATTCTAGGTAGACCCTTAGCTCAAAAAAATATACACGACAAAAATAACCAATAAACGATATGGTCAATATCGACGGAATTGATTATCGGTTCTACCTTATACCAAAACCGTAAATTTTGAAAATATCGTATAGTAATTAAGATTTATTACTAATAGCTATTTTTGTATAAGACAATAAAAGTGTTATAAACAGCGCCAATTGACAATGTTTTTTAAAAAAACGTAGATTTATGATGGTGCACTGATAATTACATACATGAAAAAATCTGTTTAGCGTATTAGGTAATCTTAGGGATCTAAATATAAAAATATATATATAATTGTATATTCGACAATATAAAAAATCATTGTAAAACTTTTTTATCTCTGCATATGAAGCGACTGTGACCAACAGATTTATGATTATTATTCTTTGCAGATAAAAATGAAACTACTCTGTGTTGTAATATCATTTGTTTTTGTAAATGTTTCGGCTGATATAAGTAATTATTTTATGTTCTTACTTTTCTACGTGAGGTAATTAAACATCTAAAATAAAATATAATATTAACCTCCTCTTTACAGTGGCCTATAAGAGGGTAGTTTCTATTACAAGTTAGTAACATTTATTATTATACAGAACTTATTGAGTTCTTAATTAATTTTACAGCTTTCATTAATATTTTTTTAATTATTTACTACAGACTTAATCATCCAGAATGCTTCTGACCGTAATGATATAAATGGAAGTAATATGTTTATATGTATATATAAATTTAAAATTAATTAACTAATATACGAGCATAGTTGTTTAATTTGATTTACGAAATATAATATAATATTTTATTCTATATAACATTATGTTTTTGGGCTGGATACACATTTTTTTTGCTTAGACAAAATTGCATTATTGAGTTAGCGACACCGTTTACGGTTCAAAGTACCTAAGCAAACTTATTCTAAAATTTGTATATTTAGTAGGGATTTCTTTTTGGGTCATTAATGTCGTTTTTGCATTCCATGGTAATTTATGTTAAAATGCTAGACAATGATTTCTGTTCAGTATTTTAAGCTAAATAAAAACTAATCGTTGGAATCACTCAAATTTGTTTTTATAAAAAACAATAGGACTTATTATAAATATATTTTTATGACTCATTATTTCTATTTTTTTTTTTTTAAAATCGTGAGATAAGCAAAATAATCATTATTAAGTTTTATGTTTTCCGTTAAATTGATAACCAGCAAATACACTTGACTTAAGGCAGTGGATATGTAATCCAACAGGGGAAGTAGTGCTAAGCTCAATAGGCATCGTTTAAAAGATGGCGAACTCTTATTTTTTTATGTATTATGGTTTTATTAGAAATTGCTTATAAAAAAAACTCTAAGCCTTTTTTTGTTTATTATAGATGGATTGGAGTTTCTTATTAAAGCAATTGTTTATGAAAATCAATTTTCAATGGGTATTAATATTTATACAAAAATCAATACAATATAAAAAATGAAGCTTGCTATTAGAAAAAAAAATTGATATTTATATGAAAGTTGCCACGAAAATTCTAAAAATCTTTATGCAAAAAACATTTTTTCGAATTACTATTATATATAACATACATTCAATCTTGAAAGATATCATTAATTTAGGGAATGATATTTTCAGAAGACATGAGTATTTTATTCGCTGTACCAGGTAATAACTTCCATTGCATCATTCGACATTTTTCCATGCCATTAATTTTTGATATTCATTAAGTATACAATAATTTCGTTTTCATTTCAGAAAAGGCAGACCTCGTAAACATACAGAGTAACCACATTTTTATGTTTTATATTTACAATACTTTACTTACGTTCATTGTTTACTTATACCGAGATTAAATTTGTACCTTTTTTTGGATTCAATCAGAAGACACCTGTACATTCAAAACTATTTTTTTTCAAATTTCAGACTCCATAGATCAACATACAGAAATGGCACAAGAAATGATCGACATATTATGTAAGTATAATATTTCTAAGTAAACATTATTCGTAGAAGATTTTCAAATATATCCGTGTCAATAGTTATTAGCCGACGTTTCGGGGTATTTGCACATTCCACCTTCAACTATTGACACGGATATAAAAGTCATCCTCGTGAAAACTTCAACACATTCTTATGATATTTAGGTACATGTTTGGAGTTCTAAAGAGAAAATGTAAAATTTTGATTGAAGCTCAAAGTCAGAAAACTTTTTGTTTTCACCAAAGCTTTTGATGATCCTTTAAAATATAATTCTAATCTTTAGTGTAAACGTGGCTATTAAAAATAATTTGATATTAATATAAGGTATTGCATCAATAAATAATTCTTATTGGTCGCAATTTTATCGTGAATCTTATAGATATTAATTAAAATGTACTTTAAGTGTGTAATTATTTAATTTTTTTGAGGTCACATTTATTAATTAATCTAATTAGTCCCAAATTTAGGTTGACTATTATGGATTAATTATAAAATATGGCTTTTTATTAGTGTGCAAACTATTTGTTAATTTATAATTTTGTTACAGCTATTCCTATGCCTAATCTTCCAGACCCAAGTAATTAATAATGTATTGAATAGTAATATATAGACCTTAATGCTTGTTTTAAAAATAACATTTATTGTTTTTTTTTCTAACAAAACAATAATTAAAATAAACCATAAACATTAAATTGTTAGGAGAGAGGATGAGACCTAATTTATATTTGCTAATACGTGTCTCAGTGATACTAATGAAAACAATTATTTTCATAAAATCACCGTTTTTTGACATTTAATAAAATTATGTATCGCGAGAATTCATTTTTGCAGATATGGCTAACGTAAATTTAACCGATCTTGGAAAAGATAGAAGACGTCTTACAGGAAAAGCTTTGAAAAAAATACTTCTTTATGCGATAGGTATACATTATTATAGAGTTGTCATGGTGTTGATTTTTTGTTGATACTATATACGTCTTATTAATATAATTGGCCTATAAAAACATCTTAATTTCAGTAATTTTTTTAACAATGATTTTTATAGTTTTGCACATTCCAAAGACATTTTAAATCCTTACTACAGTCATAAATATATTTGTTTTACTTGATTAATTAAAATGATAGAAATCGTAAAATCCATAATATAGGTAAATTGAACTATAATTGTTTTTTAAAATATCAATTTTTTTTTTTTTAATTCTTTTGAGCAATTCTGTTTTGAACATGCATATGTTTTTGGCTTGATCTGGCATGTTTAGCGCGACTGGACCTCTTCCAGCTTCGAAACCTATTCCCTACCCTTCTCAACCCATTCCTAGCATTTCTTAGCCTCTTCTACACTCTTATACTTCATAAAACTCTTCCCCATTACCGTCCAACTCTCAACCTCATGCATCATTTTCTAACATCTTACACCCTATCTAACCCTTAGAACTTTTCTTTCACCCTTTTCCTCTCCGCTGACCAGGATTTCTGGTTACAAATAACGAATTGTCAATTTTCAACCGATTTCTTTAAAATTATTAACTAAACTGATCTCTTATCAATACTGACTTAGAAAATAACCTAAAACATATCATTGATTCATTTTTTTTTCGATGTAGCCGATAAGATTTACAATATTGCACACAAGCCGGCATATTCAAAGTTCGTTCTTGTTTTTTAACTGCGTTTAGACTCGTATGGTTCGTCGTTTGTGCAATACGCATTAACGCCAATTCTAAAGTATAACTTATTACAATATAACAAAGATAAATCGAAATTCATTTCTTAACAAATATCTAATAAGTATGACTAGAATATCAATTTTTAAGTATCTTGTCTCCATACATACACTTTTTCTATAATACTTAATTCACCACAGTGTTATGTACATTTAACAAGGCAAAACTTTTCGAATGACATGTTTAATATTAAATTGAATATATCTATATTATAAATTAAACTATATTTTTTCTTATTTTAAATATATTTTATACAAATTTTATGATCAATATGTCATGATGTACACAGTGTCCAGCAGTATTTCTGTCATAAAATAATTTATTGACTAAATATCGCATGGCTATACAATAAAGACGCCACGTATATTATATTATTATTATTTTTTTTACTTATTTACACGTGTAGCGGTTTTAACTGTAAAGAAATAAAAGTTTTAACCTAAATCTAAACGAGTAATCCAAATATACCATGTTTTTATAAAAACAATTTTTTGTTATTTTTCAGTTAGATACGATTTAGCAATGACATATGAACGGTTGTGTTGTCTTATAGGGTTGTGGATAAGTACAAAAATCCCAACTTTTTATATTAAATCTGCTGAAGTTGACAATAATAAGTGTTGTGTCATAAAGGATGAAGTCGGTCACGTTAAAAAATACGCATTCATTGGTAACAAATATTGGCAAGTAGACGCCGAAAACAGTGGATTTCAAATAATGCAGCTAAAGACACAACTACTCGGGGAAGAAATATGCTAATTTAGACCAGAAGTCAAAAATAAAACTTTTATAAAGTTATATTGTACTATTTTTCTAATATATCAATCATTTTTGTGTATTGCACTAATATCAAATCGTCAATTAAATCATTGTATTTCATAATAAACTGCTTTACTCACAATTGTAAACGCATATTTTGCTTATGTATTATTATAATATTTATATATGATATTATTTTGACCAAGAGTAAGTCTAAAGGCCTAATATATTTTCATATGAGGAGAGTATGCCTAGTGTACAACCAAAGTATAACCACACAGGAAACAGTTTTTTAAATTTTAAACCAGAAATTAAAAATATAATTCTTCAGTTATATTATAGTACTAAATCATATTATAAATTAATTTAATGTATTTTATATTAAACAATTTTTCTCACGATTATGACCAAATTCGTGACTTATGTGTACTAGCCCAGTTGTAACTTTCATTCGAAGTAGCCCCTAATCCGACCAACAATCGAATTTGGAGTTACTTGCTAGTTATAGCAAAGTTAGGTAAATTTATTTATTTAAGTATTATACACCAATATGCATAATACGTATGTGTTATACATTTATATACATGTAAAACAGTTATTATATGTTTTTATTGTAGCTAGGAGTATTAAGAGACAAGGTATTTAAAAATTATAAAACTCCTGATGTAGGAAAGCGTTCATACTATTAGATATTAACATTTAGTATTAATTAATTTTTTTATAATCGAAATGTTCAATAAATATTATAATAATATAAATTATATATATACAAATAGTTCTGATAGTAATATTTGTATATATTTTCTTTTAATTTTTATTATTTTTTAAAGTTACAAAACAAAAATCAAAAAATTAAATTATTTGATTAAGAAAAAATAGGTGTCAACAGAAAATAAATACATAATTGGTCCAAATAAAAATTATGGTTATTATAGGCACACATTACATTCATTTTTTTAATATAATTATTTATTGAGTCATGGAATCTGTGTATGCAATAAGTCATACATTTGATATAACCTTTTGTAAATTAGTGGGCAAATATTATAGATATGATTTTGTAACATTAATTGGAGGATGTTTGTTACAATACTAAATTCACATATAGTGATTGTCACTGCAATACCACGTAACTAACACTTTTTTCGAAAAAGAGGGTTCGATAACATTTAATAGATAATAACATCATTTTTTTCTATTAAAGTTAGAAATGTTTTCATTAAGGTGAAGTGTACAACAGGAAGATGAGTTTATAGAGAGATGAAAGGCATGAGTGGGTAGAAAGTTATGGCCAAGTCTAAATAAAGGAAGTAATAAGGGTTCTAGGTAGAGATGATTTTACAAAATCATGGGATACGACAAATTGTTGGAGAACTCTCTCTATACTTAGCAACATAATTTCGAGGAAGATAATGCCACTTGGTTTTCCAGGCATTTAAATACAATAATTTTAAGAAAATTCGGAAGAGATTATAGAGTGGAATTCGGAAGGAGGAGGAGGGATAGGTGTGGCATAGAACGCTAGGTTATCTGCAACTTCATTACCAAAGATGCCGGACTGTCTGGGCAACCAGAGGAGTTGAACTTTTTTACTATCTAAAAATAGGCTTATCAGTAAATAAATAGATGATTCGACGAGACAATCTCGTTTCGTTTACCACTATTGTCGTATGTATGAAAGTCTGTGTTCACGAATGGTTCATTTTGGTCTATTAAGTTTAACTGCAATGGAGAACCGGTATTTGCGCAGGGACTAGCACTTTCGCTTAATGACAATTTATAGATAAAAAAAACTCTGTTTTTATATACAGGTTTTCTTCGATCACTCGAAATAAAACAGTATGATGTTACTTGTAAATGAGTGGATCTAAACTACAGATATTTACTTTACCTACCCACTTCCTGTCTAAATTGTATGTTATTAATGGATTTATATACTTTTTTTATTACTTTGTTAATTATTTATCATTACTTATTATTGGTCAGTGTCTTGGTATATTTTAAATTTTTTATACATGTTCTAATGTAGTAACTTGTTTTGTTTTTACTATTGGGTTGAAAATGTCTTTTTTCCTATGTAGACTACGCATAATATAACAGTTTGTGCACGTGGTGAATCGCACTTAATGTAAATATTCAATGTAAATATTTCAGTGTTAAACATTTTATTTGTCATTAATTAAGTATCATTTTCATTTATTTTTATTTAAGTGTATAAATTATATTATTATAATAGCCAAAATACTAAACTATGAGTCAGATAAATTTTAAACTTATTAAAAATTTAATACAACAGCTATGTAAATAAACTAACGTAGGCCGCCGCAAAATATATTTTGATTTTTTCCGTTTCGATCGAAATAGGAGCATATAGACAAAACGAAACAGAATGTCACTTTGAAACAGTTAGTTCATCAAGCTAACCGATTTGATTTTTGTCTTAAAAACTACACAGTTTTAATAATTTAAGTAAGTACTAATTCTTAGCACACAATATGATATTATTTCATTTAAAATACGTATTTAAGATACAATATTGTGTTTGTTATTTTGTATCTTAAATAAATACATTTAAAAATTAACTCCTTAATGTCTCTCTTAATGAGTGGCCAATAAATTACTAAACTAATAATAATTTCAGATTAAGTGACCTCAAAGTAAATACAAATAAGATATTACACAATCTTGTAGGCTACATTTTACGAAGTATTTATTTAGGCAAGCTTAAATTATGTAAGACTATTGCTTTTCTTATTTTTTAGGAGAACGGATAAACTAAAAATAATTTTGATAAAGTACATTTAAGTATACATTTAGGGTTGATCGTTGTCTTTTCTATTAACATATTTTGCGGGTCTATTGACTGTCGATTCACTTTTAAATTACGTCCTAGATATTTACTACGGCCAAAGTGTAATTTTCACCTTTTTCAATAATTTTCCATAAAAAAAAATTTGACTAAACGTTTTTGAGAAAAATGTAAATATCATAGCACCTCTATAGATCTATTTTCAGACCATAAGCTCTAAAATGATCCCTAATAAGGCTACATACAAAAAATGTCAACCCTTTCTGGAAAAATGGTTTTGACGTTTGAAAGTAAATTTCATACAATCAGTGAACTAATTAAACTTTTTTAATAAGATTACAATGTATGCCTTAGTTTTAAGTTGAAAAATATGTCCTTTTTCGATTATTTTTCAATTTTGAAAAGCAATTGGGAAATATCAAAGTAAAGTAAAGAATAAAAGATAGCAGTAGATCTATTCAAAAAATATATGAAATAAAAAACGTAACCGTAAAACCAAAACGTTTGCAACTCTTCGCCGAAGACTGCGAAAAATATAAACTACTTTTATGTTTATTATTGTTTGCAGATTAAAATGAAACTATTCTGTGTATTTATATCATTGTTGTTTATAATTGTTTCGGCATACGATCTAAGTAATTATTTTGTTTTCTTATTTACCTACACGAGGTAGTAAAAAAAGAAAAACAATTTAATATTTAACTCATCTTTACAGTGGACTATAAGAGGGATGTTTTCATTGCAAGTCAGTAACAATTTTGTTTTATGAAAAACAGATATTTATGTTTTTTAATTTTACTGTTCTTATAACCGTTTTTAAAAACTACAGACCTACTCATCCAGAAAGCTAGTGAAATTAAATATCAAAATAGAAGTAATATGTATTTTAAACTATTATACTAATATATAGCTGTTTTTAATAGTCGCCTAATCGTCAAATGATTTATAAATTCAAAATAATAGTTTCTATTAACTGTTATTTATATATTTCAATTATTTCAATTATGATATTAAATAATATTTAGATTTAAGGATCTATAGTTAACTACAAAATGTACAAGCACAGTTAACTCTAGGCAGTGAGCATTAAACCCAATAATGGGAGTAGTGTGAAGTTTAATGGTCATTGCTTGACGCATTTAATTTAGTTCATTTGTATTATGATTTAATTTGAAACTTTTTTTTTACATTAAACCTTTTTTTTTTTATCTAGATGGACTGGAGTATCTCATTGAAATCATTGTTTATGACGATAAATATTTGATGGGTAAACAATGCTAGAAGGGCTAAATATTTCGAAACTGTATACAAATTTATCTGTGATATAAATCTTAAACTTTACTTTAAAATTTAAGTGGAAACTTTATGAAAAATAATACTGATTTTAGCTATTTCAACATAATCTAATCATATTATAACTATAGTTAAATATGGTTGGCACGTCTGCTTTAACTCGTCCGTTATACCGTGTGACTTTATACTATACTTGGTTTGGACTGTACTGGTTTGAACGTCCTATCCACAGACTCAGGATAGTAGACTCTAGCCGGGATAGTCGGGACTCTACTTTCAGGTATAATAATAATTCCTGTAGATCTGTGACCTCCTCGTCTCCTCTACGTCACGACCTAAATGTTCTGTCATTTTTAACATGGATATATTAATTGGACTAGATACAAGAAATTCCATGTCAGCATTTTTGCGTTATACATTCACTTGCAGTTAGAGATAAGAGTCAAAAGATAAGTGATAAGAGATTAAAAATAGGGAATAATTTATATGACATAAATGACAAGAGAAAACATGTCCATAATTAAATGTTTTTCCGTGGTGCTAAGAAAATCACCATTGTTTTTTTTTGTTTGTCTATATTTTAATATTGGATAAAATTCCAAATTTTATCTTTATTAGTACTCCACTACCCATTCTAAATTTTAAACATTAAAAATAATTATTCAAAACTAGTTATTGACCAGTAGAATTATATATTATGGTACTTCACCATTTAAATTTCAAAAGTTGATAAAGCCCTAGTAAATAGAAAAGAACATACAAATTTAAATGTTTTCTAATATTGTAATATAACATAAACAAATATATATTAAAAAGAAAAAATATAAACTTATTTTAAGAAAAAAACTAGTTTAAGGCATTAAAAGAATCGCCTGGTATTGACATAAAGTTTCTACTATATTTAATTTAGTCAAGCTCATTTATCCCAAATTTCTAATTTACAAGTTTCTTCTACTTTGACCTTCTTCTTTAAACTTTAAAACTGAAAATTAAATACAATAGCTTAAATATGCATGCACTGTTCGTTTCAGACACAATGAATTTAATGCTCACTATACCGGGTAATATCATTAGTTGCATATTATTAAAATATTTTACTTCAGTTGTTTTGTATTCATTAAGTATTATATACTTTTGTGTTAATTTCAGAATTTGCAGCAACTGACAAAATATATGGTAAATACATTTTTTGTATATCATTATAATATACATACACAGATTCATTATTCATATATATTAAAAATAATTAAATAATGGTTTTGGTCATAAGGTTCAAGTACATTCAAATGTAATTTGTTTTTAATTTCAGAATGTGTGCTAGTTCAGAGAAAATTGCAATCAGAAATAACAGTTGAATTATGTAAATATAAAATTTAACATTTCTAGAAACTTTAAATACTATAGAAATTCGATTATAATTAAAAGCCGCCTGTTTTATAGCTAATAATACTATAAACTACGCATCTATGTCGCTTAAGATTTTGGAAATCATTCGAAGTACAAATTGAATTGTCCACTATAACATTACTATAACAATTAGTTTAATGGAAACAAAATGTATTGCGTTGGTTAACTGATCTAATTAATTTCAGTTTTAAAGTGACTGTTATAGATAAAATATAAAATCGGTTTGAATGATCTGTATAATTATTTCATATTTTTTTTTTTTGTTTCAGTTATTCCTATACCTGAAGTTCAAGATAAATGTAATTTCAAAATAATTAGATAAGTAGTAAATATACTTTAAGGACCTTAATCTCGTTAGCATTAAACTTAATTACCCCGTTCTTTGAAAAAATTCGTTCAAGTCTTTTTATTTTTATATGTAACTACGAAGATGCTAATGCTCTTATATCTCGTCTCATACGTTTAACCAACGAAGATATCAACTTTCTTTTAGCCAAGATTCTTCCAAGAGTTTTCTCTTTAGGTGTTGTTTATAACAAAAGGCCAAGCTGAATTTATTTTGCTCCTTATCTACTTAAAGTTTAATACAATGTTAATGTGTTATATATTCTCTGAGCATCGTGTATAGAATAAATACTTTTTTGAGTTTCAATACTAATGTCAGGTTGTACAAAAAGTTTTTGATAACATAGTTCATCATATAATTTTACAGTTGTTCAAATATTAAAATTGAGTGATCTTGGAAAAAAGAGAAGAACATTTTCTAAAGCAGCTTTAAAGAATTTAATCATCCGTGCACTAGGTAAACACTATTATACCGAGTTATATTGGTAATATTATTGCGTGTATAAAATAATTGATAATAATACTTATTTTACAAACATAATTAATATCGTAGATGAATTCTAATTACAGTAAAAATTAATTTTTTACTGTAATAAAATTACAAAACTCACACATCACATTATTTTTATATTGAACTATGTTTTCCGAATATACAATTATTGTAAAAATTACCATTAGAATTTGGCCTTATAATCTAGTTCTTTTCATTTAATTGCCTATAGGGGCCGTCGCTTATGCGATACATTAACATAAAACTTCTGAGTTCCTATACTGTACGTCCGTGTTTCTGTGATTTAAAGAAGTTATTGTTGAAAAGTACTTCAATACAGATGCCATGTATATTGTATTACTCTTTATAATTTATTTTCTACCTGTAATACTTGTAGCTTGCACAATAATAAAAAGTAGCACATAGTAATAAATATTAATATTAATATTTATAAAAATATTTGGAATATTTGGAAATTTAACAAAAAAATGTTTTCTAATTTTTCAGATGGAAACAAACCAGATGTCTCTTTAGTGCAGCTGTGTACCTATATTGGATTGTGGACGAGTACAAAAATACCAAGCCACTATATAAAAGATGTTTCAATAGACGGCGAGAATGGTGTTTGCATTTTACTAGATAAAGATAACTGCGTTAAAAAATACAGATCCTTTGATGGCATATATTATCAAGTAGACGTCGATGACATTGACCATCGTATAGTAAAACTTCAAGAACAGTTATAATAATTTAGATCTAGGTTCAAAATTATGGCTCATCGTAATTTATACCAATATTAACTATTATTTCAACAATAATAAACCAAAATGGTAAACAGTTAAAACTATTCGTCATTGTAGTCATTAAACGTACACGTCGCTTAAGAATAATTTAATGTATGTTTTGTACATATTCAAAAGAAGACAATTGAAAAAACAATTAAAATATCTGTGCGCGCGTATTCCTATTGTAGAATATTGTCGAATGATGATTTATTACACCATTTGATAATTTAGCATATCAAGCTGTTATAACAATTGCACACACAAAAGCAAAAAAAAAATCAAAAACTTGGATAGCAATAATTTTATTTAAAACTCTTTACTACATTAAAAATTCTGAAAAAAAAACAAAACTATTTAATAATATACTAAACCGAACGTTTGTTAACCGTTCAACTTCTAACTTTAACCTCCTGGAAAATAGTTGATGGTTTTATCCGACAGTTGTTTAAAAATTCAATTTCATCACAACCCCTATTTCTTATGTCTCCTTTGTTCTAATATTCAATTAAGTAAATTTTTAATATGCTTATTTTCGATGCAAAAATTTAATTTTTTATACAAACATTTGGTTTTAAGTTAAATGTTTTTAAGTTTGTTAAAAAAGTTAAGTTTGTACATTTTTCTACAAAAACGTATTTCTAGTTTATGTGTGATTACTTATATATTTATGAGGTGTGAACGTCCCACTTTTCGAATTGACGGGATTAATTTGTTATCAATCCTACAATATCCCTGGAATCCAGTACGACAGCTTATTGTAAAAATATCTTTCCCCTGTTAGTTACGCAGAAAGATCTTTACGATAAACACGAATTTAAATCGGCACCTGTCTGAAGTCCCCAATTGGAACAAGCTTACAAACAAAATATGGCTTTTATGTGTATGGCTTTTGTAAATTCATATTACAGCACAGCGGTCGATAGCCCGGGCTTACACTCTGGATTGCGCAAAATTTACTTTAATGATATGGCGTCTTTATTTATTGCTGATTGTACTCAACAAAACGATTTGATCAAAACTTCACCTGCCGAATTACGCATCGATTTTACAACAAAAGACAATGTACCAGAGTCGACTGCCGCTTATTGCCTTATCCCACACGATAAACTTGTCGAATACAATGCTTTCAATACTTTTTTTTCAGTACAATAATACTCATTGACAATATTAAATATACATTACAGTTTTTTTTTACACATAAAACTAATGAATTCTTGTTTTTTTTTTTTTTTTTATAAAAAACCGTGTATTCTTTGCTATTCCCTGTTCTTATATCTACATCCTCTTATCGGTTCATAATTAGGATGTTATTATTGGGATTCTTATCAGGGAGTGCCATTTCAGGGAGATTGTTGGGTGGTATTGATAAAAAAATAATCCCATTAATCCGAAAAGTGGGACGTTTCCACCCCATATGTGGGACAACCCTTTGTCATCGATATTAGGGACTTTTTGCTTTCAAAAAAATAAAACTAAATGCATTGACGCAATACTATCCTTCGCAAAAACAACAAAACCAAGCCTAAAAATCTACTTTCTTACAAAATAAAGCCCTATACACGCAAAAGTAGTTATAATAATAATAGTAATGAGTGAAATCAATAAAAGTATGAAATACTGTTTATTATTAAATACATTTGATTCGTTTACAATGTAGATTTTAGTGCACTACGTAAAATATATTTAAATATAATAGTAATTTTAACGTAACATTTTTATAGAGTTAAACATTTGACTACCAGTCTAAAGTATTGATAACTGCACCACAAGTTCTATTAATTTATTATCAATGTTATTAACGTCTACTAGACAAAATTCATCATTAATTTTTCTATATTTTATATCATGATCGGCTGTATTTGTTAAGATACACATATTAAAAATAACTTCAATTCTAGTAGCTTTTATATATAATAATGGGTCTAGCGTACTCATCCATAAGCCTATAAAACGACACAACTGACCAAACTTAATTATCTGGATTCCAGTTACAATTGGTTCATTTGCATCTAAAATTTAAAAAAAAACAATCACTTTATTTTGTTGTGCAGAACGTGTATAAAAAAAATATATATATATATATAATATTTAATTAGTATCTATGTTGTACAGAAATGCTGCACAAACTCGATGAATAGCAATAATGCGGTGGACACTCAGTATACCACAACCTATCGTGTATCGAAAAACTTATTTTACATTAATCTGATGTTTTAACTTCTTCAATATAACTCTGTGTATTTTACTAAACGTAAGTATGTAAGTGATGACAAGTTATTATACAAATTTCGTACTCTACTCATCACTTATTAAGTTATGAAATCAAATAAGATGTATTTACTTTTTTTTTAAATATTGCCAATAAATACAGTCCATAAGCAATGAAGAGCAAGAACTCAAATTAAAAGACATATTCTAATAAAAATATTTACAATAATTGTATGTTAGGACAACATACAATATAATTTATTATATGTTGAGTGATCTATACATTTATTACAATAAAAAAAAAAAAAAATGTGTGTGTTACTGTGATTATAATTAATCCATGATAATTATATTTTAAAAAATGCAATATTATTATTATTATTAATAAATTCTTATTGAAAAATGATTTTATATTTATAAATTTATTGTTTCAATAGTATATAACATATTATATATGTTTTAATGTTAAAAACGCTGCACCATTATTACTCTAAAATAATATTTACTTAGTGCACGGATGATGGTATTTTTTAAAGCTTCTTTAGTAAGAACTCTTCTCGCATCTCCAAGTTCGGACAAGTTTAAGTTTGCGAAATCTGCAAAAATTAAGAAAAAAATTAAGTTAGTTATGAACTTGGCTTTGAGGTTTTAATTAGAGTTTTATTTTGGAAAATGACCAACAAACCCGCCGCACTAGAATGGCAATATTTATTAGGCATAAGTACTGGGGTCTTATGTGTGGAATGTGCAATGTACTGATGAGCGTCATCTTACAGGGCTAATAATTTTGCTTGTAATTATTAAATATTATTTTTTTTAAATTAAATTACTTAGCGGATTGAAACGCAGTTGGTGCTGGGACATACATACTTATAACAGGAAACAAAAAAAATATATACAATTACATTTGAAGTTTCGTCGGTAGACGGAAAAATTGTGTTACTTGATTATGTTAGTTCACCTAATAATATAATTTTTTTTAAAAACCTCTTAGACAAAATTCGTTGCTCTCTATGCAATCTCTCATCTCTTTTTTTTATTTAGGAACATTTTTTTGGACCAAAAGAACATATTATTATGGTAACAAGAAGAAACCTAAAACGTTGTTTTGGTTCATTATAATATGTATGTTATAATATACACACATAAAACTACTGTAAAATCGTTTGTTAAATATACAAAATCAAATTTTTTGTGGGCCCTCTTAGAGATTTAAGTTTCGATACTATTTAGGGATCGGCGGCTATAGTGGTCGGTAACATTTTGAGTTTATAATTTTCATTTAATTATATACTTTTTATTAATTGTAAAAACATTTCACTTTGATAGGAAGCCGTAATGCTAAAATCATATCCATGATTAAATAATTTTCCAAAAATCGGAGAAAATAACTAAAGTTATTTTTATTTGTTATGTTGTGAGTAGGTGAAAATGTATTTATGCCATTCAAAATATTATAGTTAGTCTCACACACTTTCCAACTAAAAGTTTACTTTGTTTCATTTATTGTGTACAGACAAAAAACAAATACAATTGTGGGATTTAAAACAAGCCTGAAGGTTTATTTATTACTATTGAATAAATCGAAATTACCTTGATCTGGAACATCAGGTATAGGAAGACCTGTAAGAAATATATGGAATATCCAATAGTTATACAGTTTATAAAAACCATTTTTTTTTTAAATTTTATTCATAAGAGTCAAGCTAAAAGCGAGATTTAATAGACCAATAATTAATCATTGCAAAATTTTGTGTTTATATTAAACTAACTATAACAGCAACGTATGAACGATTGGAGTTGTATTTCGAACGATCATCAAAAGTTGGTGTTGGAAAAATAGAAATTTAAAGCAATATTTATTAACTGAAGTATAATTTTTTATTTGACATATAATACCAAGTTTGAACACTACTTTACATACATTTAAAATTAAAATATGCAGTCTTGACAAAGATATGTGCTTAACTGTTGAACGCTCTCTAACAAATAATCCTTCGATTTAGCACTAGTTTTTGTTACCTGGAATTTTCTGTACAAATTTCATGGAATCCGTCACGTGGATTTAAAAATATAGTTGTTACCGTTTTTGAAAACGCGTTTAAAGTTTAACTAAATGCTTTTGAAGTTTTTGAAAAGAAAATGGAGACAATTGTTAAATTTCAGTAAAATTTCAAGTACAATAAATTCAATAAAAAATAAACCAAATTTTTCTATAAAATCTGAGTACTTTTGAACTTAAATAAAATTATCATAATTTTTGTCATAATGTATACACAGGGCGAAAGTATTTTTATATAAGTGTAGTATTGTTACTATTGTTAGCATATGACGTTTCTGTCATGCAGTCGTAGAGGGGGGATGGCAGCTTCTTTTCATCGGACGATTGCTCGCTTAGCAAACGGAGCGCTTGTTACTGAGGGTCGAACCAGCGACAGTGAGCGCTAACACTTTGCCACCCACCCACTTGGCCAATCCTCCTCCTTATAATATTGGTGTCTAAAACTTGTATTCATGAATTTACCCAACCCTGCTATAATTAGCAAGTAACTCCTAATTCGATTATTAGTCGGGATGGGGATTATATTATATAAAAATTACAGCTGCGCTAGTGCACACAAGTCATAAATTTGTTGATAAGTGTGAGCAAAATTGTTTATTAAAAAATACATTCAATTAATTGACAAATTTTATAATGGTATAAAATGTAAAATGGAGAGTTATATTTTTTATTCCTTGTTTAAAATGTTTAAAACTGTTCTTCATGTAGTTGCACTTGAGTTCTACACTCGGCATATCCTCCTTATAGGAGACCAAACTAGGCCTTAAGACCTCCTATTGTTAGTAATGTGTCATAAGTAAATATTATAATAATAATTATAAACATAAAATGAGTTTATAATCGTAAGTAAAACAGTTTATTTTGAAATACAATGAATTAATTAATGATTTGGTATTAGTGCAATGTAGAAAAATGATTTAAATACAAGAACAATAGTACTCTATAATTTTAGAAGACTTATACTTTTGGTTTTTGGTCGAAATTATCTGACTGTGATCACTGATACCTCTTCCTCGAGTAGTTGTTCTTTTAGTTCTATTATTTTAAAATCAATGTTTTCGGCGTCTACTTGCCAATAAGCGTCATCAATGAATGTGTATTTTGTAATGTGATCGGCTTTATCTTTTAAGACACAACATCTATAAGTGTCAACTTCAGCAGATGTTATATACATAGTTGGGGTTTTTGTACTTATCCACACCCCTAAAAAACGACACAAGCGTCCAAAAGATATATATGATTCGTATCTATCTGAAAATTAACAAAACATTTTTTTTTTTTAATTATAAATTTAGATTAATAGTTTAGAATTAGGTTACTAATTTTATTTATTTTGCAGTCAAAACTGCTACACGTGTAAAAAAAAAATAATAACATGGCGTCTCTATTGTATAGCCATGCGATTTCCAGTCAAAAAATTATTATTTAATGACAGAAACACTCCCGGGAGACTGTGTATATCATTACATATTGATCATCAAAATTGTATAAAATATGTTTAAAATAAGAAAAACTATAGTTGAATTCATAATAAAATTAATATTTTGAAACTTGGAAGATCTTCTATTAAATCATGCCAAATTTAAATTTTCTCTCGTTAAATATACATAACACTGTAGTGTATTATAGAAAAGTGTAGGTTAACATAAACTAGATATTATGTACTAGATATTGAGTCCATAGGCAATTAACGAACAAGAACGAAATTTAAAATTGCCGTCTTTTGTCGAAAACTGACAATTCGTTATCTGTATCAAAATATAAATTAGCGGACGGAAAAGGGTGAAATAAGGGGTGTGAGGGTTAGAGAGGATGTAAGATAGTAGGGAATTATGAAAGAGGGTAAGAGTTGGATGGAGAGCATGGAAAAGAGTAGGGAATAGTGTTATAAAGTGAAAGAATGTAGATGAGGCTGAGAAATGCTAGGAAAGAGGTGAGGAGGGCAAGCAATGGTTTTGGAAAGTGGAAGAGAAACAGTTGCGTTAAACACACCAGACTAAACCAAAAACATATTCACGTTAAAAATAGAAATGCTCAACAAATTTTAAAAATAATAAATTTTATGTTAAGAAACAATTATAGATAAATATACCTATATTATGAATTTTATGATTTCTATAAATTTATTTAATCAAATAAAACAAATTTAATAAGGATACATTTTTGATATGTATGTCTTTAAAATATGCAAAACTATTAAAATGATTATTATAAATATTACTGAAAATGAAATGTTTTTATAAACCAGTTATTTTAATAAATATAAATACACAATTAAATTGCAGAACCATGTATACAGTATAATGGTTGAAAATCAACACTATGACAAATCTATATTAATATTTACCTATCGCAAAAATGATTATATTTCTTAAAGCTTTTCCAGTAAGATATCTTCTTGCTTCTCCAAGATCGGTTAAATTTATGTCACCATAATCTGCACAAAACAAGTCTTGATACATAATTTTATTACTCGTCGAAAAATTGTGATTTATTAAAATAATAGTTTCTATAAGTCTCACTGAGGCATGACTTAGTAAATATTAATGTAGTCTCACTCTCTTTCTCCAACTTTATGTTGACCTCACTATAATAATTATTGTGTGAGAAAGAAAACATTAAATGTTATTATTAAAACAAGCGTTTAGGTCTAATTACTACTATTTAATAAATTATAATTACTTGGGCCTGGATTATTAGGCACAGGAAGAACTGTAACAAATTGATAAATTAACAAATCATTTTTACACTATTTAAAAACCAGCTTTTATAATTCTTTTATAATAGTCAATCTAAATTGAGACTAATTAAAAGAATTAATAAATGATACTTCAAAAATACTAAATATTTATACACTTAAATAAAACTGATTTAAAATATTACTATTAACATTCACATTAAAATTGAGATCAATAATAATAATTTTTGAATGCAATATATTATTATACTACTATTAAATTACTTCTAATAGCAATATTTAAACTAACGATTTGAATTATATTTTAAACGATTATCAGATGCTTAGGTAAAAACATAAAGCTTTAATCGAAATTTTACAGTTTTTCTTTAGACTACAAGTATGTAATTGTCAATTTTGAAAATTGTTCACATAGAAGTATTAAATTTTATACTTACACAATGAATCAATTATTTCTAGTTGCAGTTGTATCTGTTGATCCATATAAACTAAAATTTGAATCACAATAATGTTTAATGTATAAGTTTTTTATGATTTAATAGAACATATAAGTACATGTTTATTCTCAGTATAAGTAAATAATGAATGCAAGTAAAGTATTGTAAATATGAAACATATAAATGGGGTTACTCTGCATGTTTGTAAGGTCTGCCTTTTCTGAAATTAATACGAAATATTGTAAATACTTAATAAATATCCAAAAATAATGGTTCGCACAAATTTGGAAATTATTACCCGGTACAGCGAACAATATACTCATGACTTCTGAAAATAACATTCCCTGAATTAATGGTAAATTTTAAGGTAGTATATATATTACATGTATTAGTAATTCGAAAAACAGTTTTCATCTCGAGTATTTTGAATAGAGTGGAAACTTTATTAAAAATTAAATGGCTGAATGTAACAGATACGGCGAGTAGAATAATATACCAGGTATAAGATAAGATTTTGAGAGCTGTAATCAGTGACGATTTTATAAAGATTCCATTTAGAATGCCTAGTTAATTTTAAGATATTTACGACAAATAAATTTGTTTACAAATTTATAGAACCTTTTTGTATGAAATATTTTGTATTACTAGCACGATTTTTTTTTTATTATATAAATATTAATAGGTACCCATTGTAATTTGGTCGTCATATATAAATGATTTAATAATATATTCCAATCCATCTAGAATTATCAAAAAAAATATTTCTTTATTTTAAATACAGACGCCATGTATATACAGGATTTTTTTTTTTAAAAAACTGTTTAAAAATATTAAAAAAGTTAAAAAATTATTAATATAAGATTACACCATGTTGATGACCATTGAACTTCACGTTACTCCCTACTCCCCCCTGATCGACGAATATCAGGTGGGGTTTGGGATACCGAAATCTTAATATTTGAAATTAGTGCTTTTCAAAATATCTATATTTATTTTTTAGTGAGAGATTTGCTTAAAAAAAAGTTAAGGTGGCACTAATTTCAAGTTTTAGGATTTTTAGAATCACAAGCCCTCCCCTTATCTCCACTAATGCTTCCTTTTGTTTAATATTCACTGCCATGTATACCCTTAGTACTTTATAGAAACTACCAATGTAAGCTCGTACCTATGTGCGGTTTCTCCTCTTATCAAAAACACAAAAAATATATATTATAGTATTGGTAACTAAAATACTTATTATTACTAAATTATATTTATTACACAAGTCATTGTGACCAATCGGCTAAAAAAAAAATATTAAAGTTGATGATTTAAAGTAAATCTTTGTTGGATATAATTGTATTGGAACATATAAAACACAATTATTTCAATGATCTCATGATTTAGACAAAAAATAATTAGGTCTATTTAAACATTAAAAAAATAAAAAAACCATTCATAATGATTCCTACTATTTTAAATACTGTCTATGATTTTGACATGAATTACCATAAAATTAAAAAATGACATTGAAATCCCAAAAGGAAATTCCTATCAAATATAACAATTTAAAAGCAAATTTACTTAAGCACTTTGAACCGTAAACCGGTCGCATTAAACACACTGGTATCGCAATGACGTTATTTTGTCTACGCAAAAAAAAAACTGTGTGTCCAGCCCAAAAACATGGTACAACAAAATGTTATATTATGTTCCTTAAACCAAATGCGATCGATCGTCAGAACAATCTCAAAAGTAAAAATATTATTGCAATTTTTTAATTCGACATTGAGATTAGAAATTTGTTGTGATGGTGTTGTTTTGTGTTCTTTGTATTTTGATATTTGAGAAAAAAAATTGTCTATATAAAATAAAACAAGCCTTTACTCTACTACTTACTATTAAGCCCCTAATTATAATTAATAACAAGTGTATCAAACAAATCTAAGTAATTTTGTTTTGGTTTCATGGTTCTATAAGTCAGACTATTATAATATTATAGTAAGCGTGTAAAAACTAAAATTTTTAATTTATAAATGAATTGGTCATCAGGCAAATATTACAAAACAATTTTGTATAAGTGTATTTAGTTATAAATATATATTACTTCCAAATACATAATGTCGGTCAGAAGCCATTTTGATGACTAAGTCTGAAGTAAAAATTTTTGAAAATTTATATAAAAACTTTAAAATTAAAAAAATTTAATAATTTCTTTATGATAATAAATGTTACCGACTTGTAATGGCAACCACCCTCTTAAAGTCCACTGTAAAAAATAATTAAATATTATATATACATTTTTTTTTTTTTACCTAGTGTAAGAAAGTAAAAACATAAAATAATTACATATATCTGTAGAAACATTTACAAAAACACATGCTATTAAAACACAGAAAAAATTCATTTTTATCTGAAAAAAAGAATAATCATAAAATTAATCAATATTTTCAGTCTTCTCCTTTTCCTCATCAATTTAACACGATGATACCAATCAGTTTGATCTCATTAAAATTATTATTTAAAAAGTGTTTTGTAATTCGTCTATATCTGAAAAATATACTTGCATATTTTAAAGCTAAAAAATATTTTTTATTTAATTGATTGTCAAGATACAAGTTTTAAGACAAATATCAATTCGATCGAGTTGTTAAAACGAGCAAACATTCGGTTAAGCACATTATTTTTAAGCGAATTTTTGCTCCTTAATTATGAACTTATATTTCTACCAGAAAAGTAAAGTATAAATTGTTTTTGCAGGGTATTTATATTAATTTATTTCCAAAGCAGTTTTTTTTTAATATCATTTCATATTTGCATTTTACTGACGTATAGTTAAGACTATTTTCTTCTCATTTATTTGTCGAAAAACGATTTAATTCTTTTAAAAAGACCAAAGAAAACTAATAGGTTATTTAAGTAAAGAATAACATTTTATTTAAATTAATTTGGTTTGTTATTTAATTACGCCTAAAATTTAAACGAATATTTTATTAATTTCTTGAGTAGAAAAGAGTGATTTATAGATAAAATGAAAAATACAATTTTTATATTCGATATAAATTTAAAGCTGATATCTTGAGGGTAATATTTAAATAAAATAATGTCGTATTTCAAAGGGTTATAAAGTTCTAAGTCAACATATTATCGTGGTTTTACTAAAATGTTTTAACGGTTACAAAATATTTTTAATTAATTTATAATTTTAAAGCTATCATGGTAAGTAACCAAATCAACATACTTTTTGGCTAACTAACTAGAATAATTTCATGTACCCGAATGATTTTATTGACATATAAACTTTGATTCCTACCGATTTACAATTAATTTATAACTTGTTTTTCTATTTTTCTAAGTAATACTTTTGGAATTTTTTAGAGGAATGTATTAATGGAGTTATTTTTTTGGATACTTCATGACAATATCACAATTTTAAATACCTATATTTTACAATGTATTATTCTAAGCTAATAATAATTTTTCGCGTAAGTTTTTAATTAATTTTGCCCATATCTGATTAAAATCTAACTTACAATTTTTGGAGTTAAATAAAAGTACTTACCTATTTAATAAACTGATAGAATTTCTAAAAAAATATTAGGGACTTGGTCGGCTTTTTAAATTTACTGTTTTAAAATGGTCTTTTTCCGACTTGTATATCGTCAAAAAATTTAGAATCTGAATTGGTTCTTGTAGGCAATTTATTTACATAGCTGGTTCATTTTTTTTATACGATTTATGATGTACATAAATTATTCCAACGCAGTGTATCGAGTATTTTTTTTTATAAATTATTGGTTTTACAATGACTCAAACATATAATACTTATATTAAGCAGCGTATACACTTGCGAGCCGAACGTATCGCGAACCGTCTGCGAGCCCGTCCCAATTCTTTAGAGAATTGCAATTGGAATTTAATTTATGTAACCTAACTATTGACTGTGGAAAAATTTTGCCACACGCAAAATACCTAAATAAATAAAAACGTATTATTTATAAAAGTACAGAATGGGATTTGCTTAAAACGCTTACATGGTCTGAGTACAACGTTATAACATACTAATAGTACCGAGGATAAAAAAACATTGTGTGTGCTTAAAACATTTTGATCACGGCGGTTAAGGATTTTTTTTTAAATAATTTATTAGTTTGTATTTAATCGTTAAAAGGTATTAATTTCTAAATTGTCAAGCAAAACCAAGTGATTGAATAAACAATGGAGGAATATAATATTTGAAAATTTTTTACCAAATGTAAAAAACATAATGAAAGAATTTTTAAGAACAAAGCATATTGGGAAACTCAAATTACTGAGTATTTCTATGACTGAATTTAGAATTTAATATAAATCCCACCATTTTATTGTTTATTACTTATGTAAACATTTGAAAGTTAAATGATTCTTTCACGAAGTCTTATTTTATTATTGTGAATCACCTAGCTCAAAATTACACAGAAGTTTTATATTTGTCTCGCTTGTCCTAATGAAACTTCAGTGTAATTGCACTTGATTTTTAAGAAAAAGTAGTTTTTTCACAATTCATGTTAAACCCCTTTTCCTACTTTCATGAAATTTATTTAAAAATGTTCTAAAAATTAGAAATATATTTAATATTATATAAAATGTGTAAAATACATTTACAGAAACATAAGCTTATTCCGACTTTCTCAATTTTTTGTATAGATTTGGTTATAAAGATATTAACTGCATTTTTATGTTTGTTAGATGTTTTGATACAAGACAATAAATCGTTTATGTTAATAGTATTTATAAAATATTTTTGTACCATTATCGTTTTAATATTACAATTCGTAAGCAAATCCCATGCAGGGTATATGTGTTGCATTTATGATTTAACCAAGTAATTATAATTTCGTTATTTTGTTTTATATTTTATTATATGATACGAGATGGGCCTAGCACAGGGATAGCGAACCAATGGCACACGTGCCAAAGGTTATACGTTGGTTGAATTCCAATGGGACGTGGAAAAATAGAATTTATTTAAAATATTATAAAAAAACGTTAGTTTTCCCTTTCGAAGGAAAGAAGTTGAATCATGAATATGTCTTATAGAGCCTAGAACCAGACGAAATGACAAAGGGTATTTAATTTAATAAACTTTTTAGAAAACAAATATTTATTTATTTATATAAGTTGTAAAACATTCTGAATAAATTTAAATAAAATAATTATATTTTTTTGTATTTAGTATTGAAGATGGCCGAACCATTGTTGAGATTAATATTGAAAATTTTGTAACGATTAATTCGGTGCCTTGGGCAGTTCCCAAATTTAAATTTAAGTTTCCTCCGTGAATGATAGAGAATATTATCGAAAATTATATGTATTACATAGCACAAAATATTGTGCTATGTAAATACATTAACATCTCTCAATATTCACATTTTTCCATTGATTATCTGCTGATATCATTTATTGTATAAGTGCCACTTTTTTGGATAATATTCTTAACCATTTAATATTACTCTTTTAAAACCATTTCTGTATTAGTTTGTTTCAATATATTTCTAACTCAATTAAGAATGTTTAACACCGGTTACTTGATATTGAAATAAAAATCCGTATTCAACTTAAAGTGGTTAAATACTTGATGTATATCTTGTACAAATAATTTAAAACACACTTGTATTAGTTAATATATTTTAAATATTTAATCGGGTTAATAATAATAATAAAATTTGTATTTTTATGTACGTCCAGAAATAATAAGTATACTTTTTGGCTTCGGCTAAGCTACTCATGAGTAGACACGTGTATACATACTAGTTTTGTGTTTGATTTACATTATAATTAATATTGGTAATCTTTAACATATAATATAATTGATTATATTACAACCTAGTAGTCTTGCACTATGCAATGTGTAGCGGTTTCCTAAAAAATTTACTTCTCTTATGTCGTGCGATAGAGTGAAATTTTGTTATTTATAACTTTGTTTGTCGAGCATGGCAAAAGGGATTTTACCGTAGGACCAAAAATGTTAATCATAATATGTGCGTTCATCAGCCATGATCGGAATCAGGATGTATTCCAAATATATGTTCGGAAATTATTCCAGTTAATGATAAAAAAGCCTAACTATTAAAAATTATAAAATTGAGACCACGAATAAAAGCAATTCAACTTTTTCGCATCTTCTGTAAATATGATATAAACGTGGCCAATCCATTTTAAGTTTGTGTCTTTAAGCACACACGTACGACTTTAATACACATATATTATAATATAAAATTTACCTTAACATTTAAGCCTAACTCCATAATTATTCTTTTTACGTTCGGTTGTTTTTTGTTCAGTAATAAACATACATAATACATAGGCACAACATAATACATAATAAATGTTTTTATAATTGGAAGCAAAACGATCTGTTATGAAATAGATTAAATTAATTGACACTAGTACTATATAATTTTAAAACAGTTATACTATTGGTTTCTGGTCAAAATTATCCGATGGTGGTAACTGGTATCTCTCCTTCAAGTACTTGATCTTTTAGTTTTATTATTTTATAGTCAATGTCATCGGCGTCTACCTGCCAATATGTACTGCCGAAGGATCTGTATTTTATAATATGACCGGCTGTATCCCGTAAGATACAAACATTATAAGGGACAATTTCAGTTATATTTGTATATAACGATGGGACTTTTGTACTCATCCACAGTCCTATATATTGACACAATTCCGAACAATTTGGCTCATTTGCAGCTAAAAGAATTTAAAAAAACAAAACTATATATTATTGATGATTGCATATTATAAAATATACACACATGTTTACTCTATTCATCATATTTTATTTTATTAATAAACGAAATAATGTATATTCTTGTTATACTATTGAGAATTATTCCTATTAAATTATATTATATATACAGTGTGATTCATTTTGGGTAAGACATTAGTTTTTTCCGAAAGTATTAATATTTTGAATATAATTTTTTCCTATTTTTTTAGAGACACTTCGTACTATATTTTTCTATACTTTCTATATTTCTTCTATTTAGTTTTCTATATTTCTGAAATTTAAAACATATGTTGCCATTTGAAAAAAGTGATGTCCTACCTTCTTTTTTTGTATGAGGGTTGGAGATACAAATATTCACAGTATTAAAAAATGTAGGTAGTACAATGTGTACCTAAAAGTATAGAAAATTTTTTTTTTTTAAATGTTCATATTTTCTGAGAAAAGTAGTGTCTTACCCAAAATGAATCAACCTGTATATGTATAAATAATTATTTTGATTGGTATACACGTTTATTGATATTACAATATAATGGTAGTATAGCAATAAAACTTGATAGTTAATACTTACCTAATTCATTTAAAATTATATTTCTTAAAGCGTTTCCAGTAAAAAATCTTCTCACTTTTCCAAGATTGGTCAAATTTAAATTTCTATGGTCTACAAAAAGTAATAAACACCGTTTTTGGTTTTAAACTTTAAGGGTTTCAAAAAAATAGGAAAAGTTACAAAAAAAAGTTGCAAAAATAATTTCACATTTTGAATAGTTTGGAAAAAAAATTGATTAAATAAATAAATTATTCGAACACGTTTTTATTCGAATTCCATTATAAGTGGTTCAATTGAATTTACTCTTCTTTTAATAACGGGTAAGAGCGCAGGGCATGACAGTCTAAGGAGAATTATCAATGGTCATAATAATTATTGTGTAAGAACAAAAAAAATTTAATTTTTAAAACAAGCCTTAAGGTCTATACAACAAATTTATTAATAAATTCTTATTACGTTGGCTTGGAGCAATGAGCACAAGGAGAGCTATAAACAAAAAAAGTAAACAAATAGTAAAATATATATTTTTATATAAATTAACTACAAGTAAGTAACCATCAAATTTGTAAATATTATATTTACGTAATTCAATTTGTATTTCAAATTGCATATCTATCTGCAGTCCTATTGATTCTAAAATTTAAAACAGAATATATTAAATTGAATGTACTTGTTTCTTCTGGTGGAAACCAATATGGAAGCATACGCAATTTAGCTTCGATACGGAGCTAAAAAGGTGTTGACCTTACAATGTTTTTTTATTTTTGTACCTGTAAACATGATAATTTTTTTCTTCTGAACTGATTTACTCAAATCACAACCCTATAAATCTGAAATCGTATGTGATCTAAACTAACAGAGCCGGAACCAGAACAGTCCAAACTACTACAAACTAAGTACAATATAGCCCTAGCACAGTATAATTCAGCACAGTAAAAAATAAGTACCGTGATTCAAGAAGGTTGTTTAAGTTATAAGTGATTTAATCACTGTCATATGATTAGGCAAGAATCTATAGTTGTTGAAAACATAGAACAGTACAATTATAGTGCAATCTAAACTAGTATGGTTTAAACCAACTACACTATAATCCAGCATCATAATCCTGTATGGTTAACCACTAAAGTTTCCTTTGTAAACCAGTATAATAAGATAACATTAGTAAAAAGTTCAAGTTATATCGGGAACCTAGATCGATCTCTGCCTAGAAGGTTTGTCTATCTAGTAGTTTATTGGTAACTAATGAATTGCTATTAGCTTTCATTTCTTCAACACATACACTGCCACTGGGTGTGAATGAAGTATAATATAGATGGTTATTCTAGTATGGAAATATAAAAGGACCGATGGCAAAATCCCAAATCTCGAAATTATAAGAAGACAACATAGATCGTACATCGATTACTTAAGGAGCCGATGCATTAAGTACAAGGCAGTCAATAAATTCCAAGTTCCTATAAGTACACACTCAAGTAATCGCCTCGTTGTGAAGCTGTTGATACTGGACAGCATTTTGGTAATTTCATAGTGTGCCAGATTATACTGCGCTTGGTATATATTGTGGTTAATTTGGATTTTAATGTGCTGGCTGTGATTGGTTTGAACTGCACTGATTTTAATTGAAT